AAAAAATTATTAAAAATTCAAACATATGGAGGCTAAATAGCACGCTTCTGAATAACCAACAAATCATAGAAGAAATCCAAAAAGAAATCAAAATATGCATAGAAATGAATGAAAATGAAAACACAAGAACCCAAAACCTATGGGACACTGTAAAAGTAGTGCTAAGGGGAAGGTTCATAGCATTACAGGGTTACCTCAAGAAACAAGAAAAAAAAGTCAAATAAATAACCTAACTCCACACCTAAAGCAACTAGAGAAGGAAGAAATGAAGAACCCCAGGGTTAGTAGAAGGAAAGAAATCTTAAAAATTAGGGCAGAGAAAAATGCAAAAGAAACTAAAGAGACCATAGCAAAAATCAACCAAGCTAAAAGCTGGTTTTTTGAAAAAATAAACTAAATTGACAAACCATTAGCAAGACTCATTAAGAAACAAAGGGAGGTGAACCAAATTAACAAAATTAGAAATGAAAATGGAGAGATCACAACAGACAACTCTGAAATACAAAGGACCATAAGAGACTACTACCAGCAGCCCTATGCCAATAAATGGACAATTTGGAAGAAATGGACAAATTCTTAGAAAAGTATAACTTTCCAAAACTGAACCAGGAAGAAATAGAAGATCTTAACAGACCCATCACAAGCAAGGAAATCGAAACTGTAATAAGAAATCTTCCAGCAAACAAAAGCCCAGGACCAGATGGCTTCACAGCTGAATTCTACCAAAACTTTAGAGAAGAGCTAACACCTATCTTACTCAAACTCTTCCAGAAAATTGCAGAAGAAGGTAAACTTCCAAACTCATTCTATGAGGCCACCATCACCCTAATTCGAAAACCAGACAAAGATGCCAAAAAATAGAAAACTACAGGCCAATATCACTGATGAACTTAGATGCAAAAATCCTTAACAAAATTCTAGCAAACAGTATCCAACAACATATTTAAAAAATCATTCACCATGACCAAGTGGGCTTTATCTCAGGAATGCAAGGATTCTTTAATATCCACAAATTAATCAATGTAATACACCACATTAACAAGTTGAAAGATAAAAACCATATGACTATCTCAATAGATGCAGAGAAAGCCTTTGACAATATTCAACATCCATTTATGATTAAAACTCTCCAGAAAGCAGGAATAGAAGGAACATACCTCAACATAATAAAAGCTATATATGACAAACCCACAGCAAGCATTACCCTCAACGGTGAAAAATTGAAAGCATTTCCCCTGAAATCAGGAACAAGACAAGGGTGCCCACTCTCACCACTACTATTCAACATAGTTTTGGGAGTTTTGGCCACAGCAACCAGAGCAGAAAAAGAAGTAAAAGGAATCCAGATAGGAAAAGAAGAAGTGAAACTCTCTCTGTTTGCAGATGACATGATCCTCTACATAGAAAACCCTAAAGACTCTACCAGAAAATTACTAGAGCTAATCAATGAATATAGTAAAGTTGCAGGATATAAAATTAACACACAGAAAAATCCCTTGCATTCCTATACACTAACAACGAGAAAACAGAAAGAGAAATTAAGGAAATGATAACATTCACCATTGCAACAAAAAGAATAAAATACTTAGGAGTATATCTACCTAAAGAAACAAAAGACCTATACATAGAAAACTATAAAACACTGACGAAAGAAATCAAAGAGGACACAAACAGATGGAGAAACATACTGTGTTCATGGATTGGACGAATCAATATTGTCAAAATGGCTATTCTACCCAAAGCAATCTATAGATTCAATGCAATCCCTATTAAGCTACCAACGGTATTTTTCACAGAACTAGAACAAATAATTTCTCAATTTGTATGGAAATACAAAAAACCTCGAATAGCCAAAGTAATCTTGAGAAAGAAGAATGGAACTGGAGGAATCAACCTGCCTGACTTCAGACTATACCACAAAGCCACAGTCATCAAGACAGTATGGTACTGGCACAAAGACAGAAATATAGATCAATGGAACAGAATAGAAAGCCCAGAGATAAATCCACGAACCTATGGACACCTTATCTTTGACAAAGGAGGCAAAGATATACAGTGGAAAAAAGACAACCTCTTTAACAAGTGGTGCTGTGAAAACTGGTCAACCACTTGCAAAAGAATGAAACTAGAACACTTTCTAACACCATACACAAAAATAAACTCAAAATGGATTAAAGATCTAAATGTAAGACCAGAAACTAAAAAACTCCTAGAGGAGAACATAGGCAAAACACTCTCCAACATAAATCACAGCAGGATCCTCTATGACCCACCTCCCAGAATATTGGAAATAAAAGCAAAAATAAACAAATGGGACCTAATGAAACTTAAAAGCTTTTGCACAACAAAGGAAACTATAAGCAAGGTGAAAAGACAGCCCTCGGATTGGGAGAAAATAATAGCAAACAAAGCAACAGACAAAGGATTAATCTCAAAAATATACAAGCAACTCCTGCAGCTCAATTCCAGAAAAATAAATGACCCAATCAAAAAATGGGCCAAAGAACTAAACAGACATTTCTCCAAAGAAGACATACAGATGGCTAACAAACACATGAAAAGATGCTCAACATCACTCATCATCAGAGAAATGCAAATCAAAACCACAATGAGGTACCATTACACGCCAGTCAGGATGGCTGCTATCCAAAAGTCTACAAGCAATAAATGCTGGAGAGGGTGTGGAGAAAAGGGAACCCTCTTACACTGTTGGTGGGAATGCAAACTAGTACAGCTGCTATGGAGAACAGTGTGGAGATTTCTTTAAAAACTGGAAATAGAACTGCCATATGACCCAGCAATCCCCCTTCTGGGCATACACACCGAGGAAACCAGATCTGAAAGAGACACGTGCACCCCAATGTTCATCGCAGCACTGTTTATAATAGCCAGGACATGGAAGCAACCTAGATGCCCATCAGTAGACGAATGGATAAGGAAGCTGTGGTACATATACACCATGGAATATTACTCAGCCATTAAAAAGAATTCATTTGAGTCAGTTCTAATGAGATGGATGAAACTGGAGCCCATTATACAGAGTGAAGTAAGCCAGAAAGATAAAGAACATTACAGCATACTAACACATATATATGGAATTTAGAAAGATGGTAATGATAACCCTATATGCAAAACAGAAAAAGAGACACAGATGTACAGAACAGACTTTTGGACTCTGTGGGAGAAAGCGAGGGTGGGATGTTTCGAGAGAACAGCATTGAAACATGTATATTATCTATAGTGAAACAGATCACCAGCCCAGGTTGGATGCATGAGACAAGTGATCGGGCCTGGTGCATTGGGAAGAGCCAGAGGGATTGGGTAGAGAGGGAGGTCGGAGGGAGGATCGGGTTGTGGAATACATGTAAATCCATGGCTGATTCATGTTAATGTATGACAAAAACAACTACAATATTCTAAAGTAATTAGCCTCCAGCTAATAAAAATAAGTGAAAAAAAAAAAGAAAAGAAAAAGCAGAGCAACCAGAGATCAAATTGCCAACATCCATTGGATCACTGAAAAAGCAAGCGAGTTTCAGAAAAACATCTATTTCTGCTTTATTGACTATGCCAAAGCCTTTGACTATATGGACCACAACAAACTGTGGAAAATTCTTAGAGATGGGAATACCATACCACCTGATCTGCCTCTTGAGAAATCTGTATGCAGGTCCGGAAGCAACAGTTAGAACTGGACATGGAACAACAGACTGGCTCCAAATATGGAAAGAAAGAATATGTCAAGGTTATATATTGTCACCCTGCTTATTTAACTTATATGCAGAGTACATCATGAGAAACGCTGGACTGGATGAAGCACAAGCTGGAATCAAGATTGCGGAGAGAAATTTCAATAACCTCAGATATGCAGATGACACCACCCTTATGGCAGAAAGTGAGGAAGAACTAAAGAGCCTCTTGGTGAAAGTGAAAGAGCAGAGTGAAAAATGCTGGCTTAAAACTCAGCATTCAGAAAACTCAAGAGCATGGCATCTGGTCCCATCACTTCATGGCAAATAGATGGGGAAACAGTGAGAGACTTTATTTTGGGGGCTCCAAAATCACTGTAGGTGGTGACTGCAGCCACGAAATTAAAAGACTCCTGCTCCTTGGAAGAATAGCTATGACCAATCTAGATAGTATATTAAAAAACAGAGACATTTTTTTGCCAACAAAGTTTTGTCTAGTCAAAGCTATGGTTTTTCCAGTAGTCATGTATGGATGGATGTGACACTTGGACTATAAAGAAAGCTGAGCGCCGAAAATTGATGTTTTTGAACTGTGGTGTTGGAGAAGACTCTGGAGAGTCCCTTGGACTGCAAGGATATCCAACCAGTCCATCTTAAAGATCAATCCTGTGTGTTCATTGGAAGGACTGATGTTGAAGCTGAAACTCCCAATACTTTGGCCCCCGATGTGAAGAGCTGACTCATTGGAAAAGACCCTGATGCTGGGAAAGATTGAAGGCGGGAGAAGGGGACAACAGAGGATGAGATTTTTGGATGGTATCACCGACTCGATGGACATGAGTTTGAGTAAACTCTGGGAGCTGGTGATGGACACGGAGGCCTGGCGTGCTGCGTTCCCTGGAGTCGTAGAGTCAGACACAATTGAGCGAACTGAACTGAACAGTACTAATCTGTTATAAATACTGAAATATTCACAGATTAAATAATGAGATGTGCTTTAAAACAATTCTATTGGATGGGGAAAGACTGACTAAACAGGATAGATTGATAGTATTTGGATTATTGTTGACACAAGCTAATGGATACATGAGGGTTGATTATACTATTCTCTCCATTTCTGTGAATGTTTGAAATGGTCTGTTAAAAAAACAAAAATAATATGGGACTTCTTAATCACAGAATTTGAAGCCAGTCATGATCCCCCTCCCCGCTCCCTTTTCCTTCAATAAATTGGGTTGACTATTGCGGCATCCTCCTCTCTCTGTAATGGTTCAATTCACTCTTCCGCGGTCTTTTCGTGGTTCCTTCCTCCTAGTTCCCGCGCTGTCCACCTCCCCCCACGCAGTCCCAATGGTTTAGCCTGGTTTTCCGGGGGAAACCCCATGGGGCGGAGCAGGAGGCTTCTGCGAGTGGCCGCGGTCCCCTCCCCGGAGACCACTTGGACCGCTCCGCGTCGGGGGTGGGCGGGTAATCTTGGGGCAGGACGGGAGTCTTGGGCTCCAATTGGTCAGTGCCGGAGTAAACATCCGTCTGGGTGGGGCGGGACCGGAAGTGTAAGGCGAAGGCGGTGGCTGAGGCGGCTGTGGAGATTCTGGACTTGTACTTGGTATCCGCAGGTGCCATGTGCTGGGCTGAGCCGCGCTGAGGGGGCCGCGGGGCGCTGAAGGGGACGGGAGGCTGGGCCATGGCTGGCGCTCGGGCCGCCGCTGCTGCCTCGGCGGGGCCCTCGAATTCTTCGGGCAGCCCACAACCACAGGAGCCAGGACTCGGGGAGCTGCTGGAGGAGTTCTCCCGGACTCAGTACCGGGCCAAAGACTGCAGTGGGACGGGCGGCTCTAAGGTGAGTACGGAGCAGCAGGGAGCACAAAGAGAAGGTCCCTGCCTTGGGAAGTAACTGAGGAAAGCCTAAGGTCAGGGGTCAGAGGACGGAAACAGAGGGAAGTTCCCAGGGTCTGGACTTGGAGAGTAAGGGTCCGGGTTTAAAAACCGAAAGGAGGAACTGGGGTCAGAGTGAACCAAGGAAGGACGACATTTTGGTTTGAGACAGAAAGGTTGGAGGCCAGGGATCAGCCCTGAGAGACCGTGTTCAGAGATTAGAGAGGGGGAGCTGAAGGGTGGGGATAATTCTCTTGCATCAGGTATGGGGACAAATGCCCTCAATTCTAGACTTTTTAAAAGAGGATTTCTGCAAGTCAGCCAGAGATTAGAGTGAAGGGGCTGGAGGGGTGGTGCAGAATGCAGCAAAGAGGTAAACCGAGTTGTGTTGCCTCCCTAAACAGTCTCAGCATTACTTAGAATTAGATCCATCCCTTTCCTTCTCCCATAGAGTAGGAAAACAGCCCACACTCTCTATTCCTTTATCAAAAGCAAGTCTTAGTTCCTCTGTTTTTCTACCCTTGGGATTCCCTTCAGTCTCCTTATTGCTAGACCTGGAAAGCTTCCAGTCTGGTCACGCCATTTTCATCTTAGGCACTGCCTGGCAGTCTGATGGGAATCTTGCTGACTCTACCATCTTTCATTCCTCACGTGGTTTTGGCAGGTGTAGCATCAGGTTTTCCAATGGAATTCTCTTCCATGCAGGGCCATGAAACTCTGGTTTGGCTCCATACCATCAGCATCACCTGGGATGTTTATTAAAAATAAAGGTTCCTTGTTCCCACCCAGTCCTACTGAGTTAGAATTTCTGAGGTTAGGAACCTGGAATTTGTAATTTTTAATAGGCTTCTTAATGATGTTCATGTCCCTTGAAATTTGAGGTTTCCTCATTCCTGTGAGTTTTTCCTACTCCATTGGTCTTTTGGGTGGTTACAGGGTCAGTGGTTTTCCTGGGCCTCTTTTCATTTTACACACCCATGTAGATCAGTGTTGTAAAAAGTTATGTCTGACTTTCACTCCAGCTGGCCTTAAACTTTCTGATCTTTTCAGGCTTGTTGAGATGTTACAGGTTTTATGTCCTTTTTCTAGAGGGCCTTTCCCGAATTGAGCAAAATAAGAGCAGTTTTAAGGGAGCTGTTCCTTCTATTTCATAAGCAAATTGTAAGGAGACACCTTTGTCTGCAGCTTCTAGTCATGACACTATTTAGAGCTTCTAGGTACTGTTCTGTGAATGGAGAATTGAGAAGCATCTGGAGCCAAAGGAAGATAATGTATTGATGCTGGTTAAAATAACCTAGAGCAAAGGTTCTTAATACTTAGGGATTGTGGACCCCTTTGAGAATCTCATGAAAGGTGTAGTCCTCTCTTTGGATGCCTAAGAAACACAGTTTCAACAACATTGAGGGCTTCAGAGTCCCTCCCTGCCCCCACCAAAGTTTATTACATGAGTTCATGAACTGCACGTTTAGGGCCTATGACCTAACAACAGGTCTGTTCCTTGTATTGAATTATAGAGGCACACGGTTATCCCCAGAGATTTCTCCAAGGCAGGACCCGCCTAATTCTCTATCCTAGAATCTTCTTTATGTTCATATCTCCTCGTCTGTGCAGGTTGAGCGCATTGAGAAGAGGTGTCTGGAGCTGTTTGGCCGAGACTACTGTTACAGCGTGATTCAGAACGTGAATGGGGATATCTGCGGCCACTACCCACAGCACATCGTGTTCCTGGAGTATGAGAGTTCTGAGAAGGAGAAAGACACGTGAGCATCATGTCACCAAGGCGTGCCCTTCTGGGAAGGCCTTGACATCTCATCCCCAGGGTCAGGAAAGCCTGTCCTTGGGCAAGGCAGACTCTCTTTTCCCAGATGTTAAGCCTTGTTGGCATCCTGATAGCACAGCGTAGAAGAAGGACCTGGAAGTCATGGTCCTGGACTCCTGTTTTACTCTCACCCTATTGCTCATTGCCCTAATACAGCTGACCTCACGCCTCCCCTCCCTGAATCTCAGTGTTTCCTTTGTTTAAGAGTGAGTGGGAGGTATGCTTTGTGGACATGCTTCAGCACACGTATGTGTATAGAGCTTCAAAGCCTGAGGTCAGTGTACTTGCTGGCTGCATCACTAACTTAGGCAAGTTGTTGAACTGCTTTGGCTCTCAGTTTCCTTATCAGTCTCTACCTCTGTTTCGAAAAGTGGCTAGTGCAATCCCTGCTGATAAATGGGACTATTCCAAGCGTGATGTGTGTGCTCTAAGAGTTAGAAATGAGTGCTACTATTTATTGCTGCTGCTGCTGCTGCTGCCAAGTCGCTTCAGTCGTGTCTGACGCTGTGCGACCCCATAGGCGGCAGCCCACCAGGCTCCCCCGTCCCTGGGATTCTCCAGGCAGGAACACTAGAGTAGGTTGCCATTTCCTTCTCCAATGCATGAAAGTGAAAAGTGAAAGTGAAGTCGCTCAGTTGTGTCCAACTCTTAGTGACCCCGTGGACTGCAGCCTACCAGGCTCCTCTGTCCATGGGATTTTTCCAGGCAAGAGTACTGGACTGGGGTGCCATTGCCTCCAACTATTTATTGAGGACCTACCAAAGCCCGGGTGCTTTTCCCTAAGGTAACAGTTCACCAGGTACTAGTGACACAGAGCACCCAGCACAGGATGCAGCCTGTGGGCGGCAAGTAAACGGTAGCAGTTGTTGGACACTGATAAGTAATCAGGCTCATTACTTATAAGGCTTATAAGTAATAATAAGTATTTATAAGAGGCTTATAAGACTCTAGGAAGTGCTTCATGTTAATCTCAAAGTTTGTTCTGCTAGACTTCCTGCTTGCTGTTGATTTTAAGGGAATTCCAGGAGGTGTTGCCAACAATATCTGAAACCCTGGCCCCAGGGAAGCGCTGTTATGAGAAGGGCTACAGTAGAGTCATTCTCCGGGGTGCAGCAGGCCATCATTGCTCACAGCACTGCTCAGAGCTCACTGGCTAGAGATTCTGAGTCCTGGGCTCCAGAGCCACTGAATCAAAATCGCAGCATAACACTACGGCCCATACATACATAGAGGTTGGAGAAGTGCTGCTGCAGACAAGTTGAGGAGCAGGGTAGATCCTGCCTGTTGTGTGAGTGTTTGGGGAGACCCTATGGTGGAGATGCCTTTCAGCTGGAATTGGACAGACAAGTAGGAATGTCCCTTAAATGTCCTTAGTTAGGGACTAGCTTGTATGGGGTCTTGATCACTGGTCCAGGGAGTATAGACTTGTGGGTGTTAGTGGTTATTGGGCTAGTACCCTCTGAGCACTCACTGAAATCACAGATTTCAGGGGCCCTAAATCAGAATTTCTACATCACAGAGAGCTTCCTAGATGAGTCCGTTGCTATAGCCTGGAACCATAGGGAGCCAGAGAGGGCTTTCACATAGAGAAGTTTGCTCCTGTGTAAGATGGGAGATGTGTAAGTGTGCCCTCTAACCAGGTTGAGGTGGAGTCCCTGAGAAAAAGGAACATATTGGGGGGATTAATTATATGTAGATCATAGCACTTGTATGCCTGCCTCTTCTTTCTGTCACTGCCAGGAAGCTCCCACTTTGCCTAGCAGAGTCTCACCTTCCAGGCCAGGACCACCACAGTATATCGCTAACCCTAGAGGAGTTACAGTCTGTTTTTACTTTTCACTTCTTGCAAGGCCTCAAAGTGATACTAAGCGGCCCATGTCTGTTGAAGAGAAGGGAATATGTGCATGTGTAGGTGAGAAGAAATAGAACTTTTTGCTTCATTACATGCCTGAATTTGGTGTTAATATGACACTAAGTTAGACTGAGTTGCAAAAGGTAGAACTAGATTTAGGAAGTGGTTTGGTTCTATTAACCCACCTCCCCAGTTTTGCCCATCATCTGGGAATAGAAGCCTGGATGGTGCTCTCTGAATGGCCAAGACGTGTTTGTCAGTAAGACAAACTACTGCCATGGGACACATCTCGGGGATCTAGTTGGAGACCCTACCAGAGAGATGAAATCCTTACCTTTAGGTCTGGTGGGTAACACAGACCAATAAGTGAGCAATGCCATTGTAACAAAGGCCAGAATTAGGGCAAGTATAGGTGAGGCATTGGGAGACAGAGTTAAAATTCTGCACTTGATAATTCCCACTGGTGTGTAAGCATAGGGTAGGGGTCTTCCCTCATACTGCTGATTTTCAGACACCAGCTGTATGTTCTGCAGTTCAACTCAACTCTGACACCATCTACCCAGAGATAGCTTCAGATCTACAGGTTAAGGGCTCAGTCCCACAGGACAAACATAAATACGTAGCCCACTTTCATTCCTTCAAATATGAGTATCATGTGTCAGACACAGCCCAGTGCTTAGCACGGTAAGAGGAAGATTCTAAGGCCAGGAAATAATAAAAATAAAAACAGGAACCACTGAGAACAGAAACTGAATTGGTTCTTTGAGTAGGGGACGCAGGACAATAAAGCACCAGCTAGCCTAATGAAAAAAGTGTGCCTTCCTCCACATAAGACTGCCCAGAGCCCTGAGGATGGAAGTGCTGGCATGTTCTCTCCTTTGATTTTGTGGAGCATTTGTTGAATGGAAGTATTCAGCCTGGGAGACTCAAATGCAGTTTCAAGGCATTTAGAGCTGCTGGTGTGAGCTCAGAGTCAGTTAAAGCAGAAGGTGCTGGGACTTCTGGGCTCCCAGTGCAGAGGGCCTGGGTTCAATCCCTGGTCAGGGAACTAGGTTTTGCATGCCATAACTAAAGATCCCACATACCTCAATTAAGACCTGATGCAGTCAGATAAATAAAAATAATTTTTTTTTTAAACTCAGCAGATAGTGCTGACCTCATCTGTGCAAATGACCTGGGGCCACCAAAAGGTGGAAGGAAGACTAATGTAAGCAGTATTATGTGTATTTTTTTTAATATTCTGTTGGCATCTGAGTTTAATTAGGCAATTATTTTGTACTCAGTTGACTTTTTATTTCACAGAGTGAGGGGAAGGTGGTAGAACTTGGTTTTCAGTGAGCCATGTTTTTTCTAGGGCCTGACTGATTGGCCTGTGCCAGCTTCCCTGGTAGCTCAGCTGGTAAAGAGTCTACCTGCAATGCAGGAGACCCCGGTTTGATTCCCGGGTCGGAAAGATCCCCTGGGAAAGGGACAGGCTACCCCCTCCAGTATTCTTGGGCTTCCCTCATGGCTCAGATGGTAAAGAATCCACCTGCAGTGCGGTGACCTGGGTTCCATCCCTGGGTTGGGAAGATCCCCTGGAGGAAGGCATGGTACCCCACTCCAGTATTCTTGTCTGGAGAATCTCCATGGACAGGGGAGCCTGGCGGGATACAGTACACGTGGTCGCAGAATCAGAGATGACTGAGCAGCTAAGCTCAGCACTCTGTACATACCGTGAGGAGGCACTCCAGCCTTCTTCCTTCCTTCAGAAAAGAAAAAAATCTTGGTCGTAAAAATAACATGGGGACTTCCCTTGTGGTCCAGTGGTTAAAACTCTGAGCTTCCACTGCAGGGGACACAGTTTTGATCCCTGGTCAGGGAGCTAAGATCCTGCATGCTGCACAGTGCAGCCAAAAACAGAAAGAAAAGGGAAAAAAAAGTCGTATGTAGTCACTTCTCTATTTGAATTATAGTAAAGATGTAATAAATTTGTGACTTAAAATGCTTAGTAAAAATGGGCAAAAAGTCTTAAATCATACCTTGCAGAAACATACACCATGGAAAATTTAAGTCCTCTTTCTTTATCCTCTTGTTTTCTTTCTACAATCACCAAACTGCTGAGCCAAGTTATTTTTTTATTATTTTTTATGCTTCCTGTACCTGCTTTCTCTAACCTGTATCCTCAGATAAGAGGATTTTTCAGTGATTATTTCTTCAAATAATTTTTCTCTCCCTGTCTCTCTTCTCTTTCTGAGACCCATATAATGCAAATGTTAGCATTGATGTTGTCTTAGGGGTCTCTTAAGTTCCTCTCATTAAAAAATTTTTCTTGCTGTTCTCATTGGGTGATTTTTATTTTGCTATCTTTCAGATTGCTCATCTGTTCTTCTGTATCATCTAATTTGGTATTTATTCTCTCTACTGTATTTTTTATTTCAGTTATAGATTCTTATTTTTCTGTTTTTTTTTTTTTCTTTTTTTTGAATTGGAGAATAATTGCTTTACAGTGTTCTGGTGGTCTTTGCTTTACATCAGCGCAAATCAGTAATAGTTATATATGGTAGCGCTAGTGGTAAAAAGTCTGCCTGCTAATGCAGGAGACATAAGAGATGCTGGTTCCGTCCCTGGGTAGGAAAGATGCCCTGGAGGAGGAGATGGCAGTGTGCTCCAGTATTCTTGCCTAGAGAATCCCATTGCAGGAGCCTGGTGGGCTACAGTCCATGGGGTCACAAAGAGTCGGGCATGACAAGTAACTTCACACAGGTGCATGCACAAACATATATACATATCTCCTCTCTCTCTAGAGCCATTCTTCACCTCTGCATTCCACCCCTCTCGGTCATCACAGAGTCCCAGGCTGGGCTCGCTGTGCTATACAGCAGCTTCCTGCTTGTTATCCGTTTTACACATCATAGTATATCTATGTCAGTGCTGCTTTGTCAGTTTGTCCTACACTCTTCTTCCTGCTGTTTCCACCAGATCGTTCTCTATGTCTGTGTCTCCATTTCTTCACCGTAAATAGGTTCATCAGAACTATTTTTCTAGACTATATATCAGGTTTTTATTTGGAGACCTTGTTTTAACTTCAGTTTCAAATCCTCACTTGATAGTAGTTATTTTGTTAGTAACTGGCTTGAGAATATATCTATGAAGGCTACTAAGAAATCAGCAGTGTTTTCAGAAGACTATATTTTTATTTATGCCAACGGAATTTAGATATGCTTAAAGAGGTACCAGTGGTATTTAGGAGTCACTGAACTTACTCCTTCTGAAACAGTTATTTGTGTGCACATGATATGCAGTGACACTAGCAGGACTGGGATGTAGGAGGGATGACACCCTCTCAGACTCAGCCTGGAAACTCAACCCTTGTAAGGAACAAGCTTGACTATCTTCCTTCCTTTTCCTCCATTACTCTGCATAGCCGGGAGAGATTCCCACTGTTGAACTTCCTGCCTCCTGTTTCTCTTGGAACCAGAAGTTCTTACTGGCTGATGTGGAGCCTTTTGTTAAGAATCAGTGGGTGAAAAAAAAAAAAAAAGAATCAGTGGGTGAATCTGTGAGAGCAGACCCTTATTTTAAGGGTCTGCTATAGGTATGACTTGCTTAAACTCATTTCTAAATGTGTCTTTTTGTGTGTGTTCTAGAAGCTCCCTTAGCAGAGCTGGGTGCGTTAACTTCCATGCTTCTCAAGGCCATGAATAGCTTCTCTTTCACCACCTTTGTTCCAGCATTCCCTGCCCTTTGACATTTTAGACTGTTAGTGTTGGTTGAAATGTTGATGATGTATCAGAGGCTCATAACCATGTGGAATGTGAACTTCATCATATCCTGCCATCTTTGTGAAAGATCACAAAGATGGCCTCATTATTGCCAGAGGGTCCCCAACATATTTGTCCAACTTTTGGGGTGAAAAACTGAGCACCCTGGACATGATCAACATTCAGTTTGCTCCCTGTGTTTCTTCATTTTCAGTACTGTGTCTTCAGAGTTGCTCACTTTTTTGTTTTAATCTTAAAGGTTTTGAAATCAGGATGATTGCAGTTTTAGTACCCATAATTTAGCTTTTTTTTTTTCTTTTCTTGAAAAGCATAAAATGTCTGTGATCTAGAATTTAGGAATCTGAGCATTTATTCAATTTGAAATGAATATTTACACACACACACCCCTAGCATGGGTTACACAGTACTCATGCACAAGCAGCCTAACCTACCTCTCTTGCCTTGTGTTAGGTTTCAGAGCACCGTGCAAGTGAGCAAATTGCAGGACCTTGTCAACCGCAGCAAGACAGCCAGGTGCAGAGGACGGTTTGTCTGCCCGGTGATCCTGTTCAAGGGCAAGGTAAGACCTCCCCATAGCCACTCTTCCTCCCTTGGAGGTACCTGGCTTAATGCAGAGTGTACAGTTGTCTCAGCAGTGGCCACAGGACAGAAAAAGGTCAGTTTTCATTCCAATCCCAAGGAAAGGCAATGCCAATGAGAGCTCAAACTACCATACAATTGCACTTATCTCCCATGCTAGTAAAGTAATGCTCAAAATTCTCCAAGCCAGGCTTCAACAGTACGTGAACAGTGAACTTCCAGATGTTCAAGCTGGTTTTAGAAAAGGCAGAGGAACCAGAGATCAAACTGTCAGCATCTGTTGGATCATCGAAAAAGCAAGCGAGTTCCAGAAAAACATCTATTTCTGCTTTATTGATTATGCCAAAGCCTTTGACTATATGGACCACAACAAACTGTGGAAAGATTCTTAAAGAGATGGAAATACCAGACCACCTGACCTGCCTCTTGAGAAACCTGTGTGCAGGTCAGGAAGCAACAATTAGAACTGGACATGGAACAACAGACTGGCTCCAAATAGGAAAAGCAGTGTGTCAAGGCTATATATTGTCACCCTGCTTATTTAACTTATATGCAGAGTACATCATGAGAAACCCTGGATTGGATGAAGCACAAGCTGGAATCAAGATTGCCGGGAGAAATATCAATAACCTCAGACATGTAGATGACACCACCCTTATGGCAGAAAGTGAAGAAGAACTAAAGAGCCTCTTGATGAAGGTGAAAGAGGAGAGTGAAAAAGCTGGCTTAAAACTCAGCATTCAGAAAACTAAGATCATGGCATCGGGTCCTATCACTTCATGGCAAATAAATGGGGAAACAGTGGCAGACTTTATTTTCTTGGGCTCCAAGAAAAGTCACTGCAGATGGTGACTGCAGCCATGAAATTAAAAGAGGCTTACTCCTTGGAAGGAAAGTTATGACCAACCTAGACTACATATTAAAAAGCAGAGAGATTACTTTGTCAACAAAGGTCCGTCTAGTCAAGGCTATGGTTTTTCCAATAGTCATGTGGATGTGAGAGTTGGACTATAAAGAAAGCTGAGCACCAAACAATTGATGGTTTTGAACTGTGGTATTGGAGAAGACTCTTGAGAGTCCCTTGGACTACAAGGAGATTCAACCAGTCCATCCTGAAGGAAATCAGTCCTGAATATTCACTGGAATGATTGATGTTGAAGCTGAAACTCCAATACTTTGGCCACCTGATGCGAAGAGCTGACTCATTTGAAAAGACTCTGATGCTGGGAAAGATTGAAGGCAGGAGGAGAAGGGGATGACAGAGGATGAGATGCTTGGATGGCATCCGACTCAATGGACTTGAGTTTGAGTAAACTCCAGGAGTTGGTGATGGACAGGGAGGCCTGGTGTGCTGCAGTCCGTGGGGTTGCAAAGAGTTGGACACGACTGAGCGACTGAACTGAACTAAACTGACAGTTGTCTTGTTGCCAGGCAAGTTTGGGTGGTTACCGGGTGCCTGGTGTGGTGGGAAGCAGGCCAGAGAATAAGACCAATTCCAATGCCACTTTTTTCAAGGGTGAGTCTAGGTAGGAAAGGGATGTCACAGCGGAGGACTCTACCCTGTGTCCTGGAGCCCTGCTGCCTAGGCTCTGATCCCGACTCTGCTGCTTCCTGCCTGTGCAAGACCTCCATTTACTCCTCTGTCAAATGGACAAAATAATCATGCCTACATCACAAGTTTATGAATAGATTAGATCAGATAAGTTGTTTGTCCATTCTTTCAGTAGTGTAATTTACCAGATATTTATTTATGTATCATATTCAGGTCTTAAGTTACCTCAGCATATATGATAAACAAAAATTTGCACCCTTATCAAGCTTATATTCTATGGAGTGTTGTTAATTTGGTACCCAAATAGGGTCTCATTTCACCTATTTTTATAATCCTTTGATGTATTAGATATTCCCATTTTGCAGATGAAATGAAGGCTCAAAGTGGTTAAATAATTTCCCTAAGTTTACTTTACACAACTTGAGAGCTGAGATTTAAACTTACTGCAAAATGCCCTCAAGTTACTACACTGTAGCTTAGGGCCACATAGTGTGGTATCAGAGGAACCCACCAAGATGGGCAGTAGTGTGGACTGACAGGCATGGCCTCATTAAGTGAGTGGAACTAGGCTACAAGCTTTGGAAGAAGAGTGGGAGGGTATTCCAGGCAGGTGCCTGCCTGGGGGCTTACAGTGAGGCAGGCATGAGAAAGGCTGGGAGACTACCTCATGGGAGTGGAAGTAAGTTTCGGAGCTGAGGTTAGAAGGGACTGAATGCAGGAGGCTCGATGCTGGCTGAGGTGTTTACATTTGCCAGACAAGCCTCTGTGATTTCTGGGCAGGGAAATACAGGATACAAATATCATTTTGAGAAAGATTAATCTAGAAGAAGCAGACTACTAGCTTGGAGGAGGGGAGGAGAGCAGAAATGTCTGCCCCCTATTCTGTTCATCTGGTAGGTACCTGCGTGTGCTATGGTCCTAGCACCTCTGGGACTTTAGTCCATTCTCCCAGCATGAAGGCAAGGGCTGGGGCAGGGCAGTGGGAAAGAGAAATGCTAGACTGATTCCTCTGCTTTTGTGCCTTCATGTGACAAGAGGAGATAGGAAAGGAGAAACAGCCACAGACTTTCATAGGGTAAGTCTGTTTGCTCTCCTCTGTGCCTTTCTTTCCTAAAGTGGAAGAAGGGCAAATGTGACAGGTGAGTCAGGAAGCCACAGACTTCATAGAGTTGGTCTGTTTTAGGGGAAAGTATGTCTGGGAGTGAAGTTCCAGAAATTGATCATCTTAAAGCTTATTTATTCTCCCTTCCCCCTTTGGAAAATTTCGTGTTGCTCTAAGCTCTGACACCTCCAGTTTAGATAATTGCTATGTGGATCATAGTGTTTGTCACTAGAAATTATGTAGGAAATACTCAAACCAGTGCTTCCCACAGTGTGTTCCATAGAACAGTAATTTAAGGATACGCTTGTGAAAAGCATTCCCTCTCAAATAAGATTGAGAGACATTGCACCCTAGATTCACCCTGACCCCCGAGCTCCAGATTCAGGAGATACATTGGTAAGCGTATGTCAGTGTAGGAAAGGCTCTAAGAAGTCCTGAAGCAGAGGAATCTGTGTGGTGTTGTCAGGTCTGTTCTTTCTCACTCTGCAGACCTTGAGGAGGGAGTTTCCAGAATGCACTTGGGAAATTTCGGTGAGACTGAGAGAAAGAGCCCCAAGGCAACACATTTCAGAGGGAGGGTGAAGAGTTGGAGGGATTATTCTTTTCTTTTTTTTGCTGTACCCCAAGGCTTGTGGGATCTTAGTTTCCCAACCAGGGATCAAACCCAGGCCTGATCGACAGTGAGAGCATGAGAGCTCTACCTGCTGGACTGCCAGCAAATTCCTTTGTTGGGGGCAAGGGTGGTATTATTTTGAGGAGGCTTTGACGCTTAAGGGCTTCACCATTCATCCTGCTTTCTTCTCCATTTGCACCTTCTTGTCTGTTGATGTGATCCCGTTGTGTTCCCTGTAGCTTCCCCTGACTCCGTCATGTTCACTGGCTTAATACCTACTTACACGCGTTTTATTCCTCTTGTGTTTGAAAATCTGCTGTCTCCTCTCTGCCGTAATCCCTATGAGTCCAGAAGCCGTGTCTTATTACTGCTGTCCTCCCACTGTCTAGCAGCTGCCCACCCAGCTGGTGTGGGCAAGCTCTCTAGGAAGACACTGCTCTTGGGTTACACAGTAGTGGGCTCTGTGCTGGGTTCTAGGGGGACAGGTGACTGAGACAGTCTTGTCACCCTGGAGCTCAGTGAGTGGGGAAGGCAGAGCTATGAACTTGAGGATCAGGAGATGAGGAAGAACAGGAGAGGGTCTTCTGTTGTGAGGTGGGCATCTTGTTCTCAGGTGGGTCTCCCAGCAGGCCCTAACGAGTTTGGTGACAGCAGCGTTTTCTGTCAACATACCCAGCCTAGCTGGGTCGGGGAATGTATGCTCAGAAGTGCCAACTTCCTGCTTCCTTCCAAACTCAGTCCATTGTGGCTAGTGCAGCTTAGGAACTAAACGTCTGATTTTGTTTCATTTCAATTAATTTCCATTTTATAATTGAAGCAAAGTAGAAATTTTTTTGATTAAACACAATTTTCTTTTGAGGTAGGACTACATTACCCTTTAAACACTGAAAATCATCCTATTTGAGATGTGCTGTAATTATAAAATACATGTTGGATTTTAAAGACTTAATCCAAAAAATGTAAAATATTAATAATTTAAAAAGTGATTATATGTTGACATAGTAATATCTAGGGACATATAGGCTTTAAGATATATTATTAATTTTTTAATAAAACTCAGTTCAAGCATTTAAGAGTAAGCTGTTCTCATGTGCCATTTTCTTCCCCATCACTTGTATCTGGTTTTTAGGCAATTAAAATTGGAACAGCTCCTCTTTCTCTCTGTTTCCTCCCTTAAGAAATGGGGAGCAGAGATCAGCTGCTTTTATTCTGCATGCCAAAGTTGGTACTACATTTACAAATCCTACAGAGCGATCTTCCTCATGCAACATTAGAGGTCACTCCTGATTAGGTAAATGGATAGCTTTCAGAGTGTATCCTGCTTTCTCAGTGAAAAGCTTAAAGTATGGAATTGGTGGGCTGTGCATTGGAGCCGTGAAGCCCGGGAGCAAGGTCAGGCATGGACCCACCCGTGGGGTACGGCTTCCCCCAGACTCCAGTTCTCAGGACCTTTCTGTGGAGGTTGGTGCTTCACTTGGGAAGCCAGCCAGTCGCCCATCCTCCCCGACCTGGTGAGTCCCCTGGGCTGGGTGTGGCTGCCTCTGTGACCAAAAAAACAGGGATGGATCGAGGGGATTTGGGGAAATTGGGGAGCAGAAAGAAGAATCTGAGCCTTGAGAAGAGCTCTGAGCTCAACAGCTCAAGAGGGGATGTGTGTCTGCCTGAAAAAGATTTAATAGAAATAATGGAAAGAAGAGTGAGATTTGGTGCCACAGCTTGGATGATGGGGGAGGGGGACATGGTAACATGTGCTGGTCAAACTCAAACAACCACCCCCCGCCCCACTTGTTTGCTCATGAATCAGACCTCCCCCAATACCACTGGAATCTTGAGGGTCCTCAGCCTGCAAATGGACACTCCATTGCTGCAACTTCTCATTACTAGGCTGGTCTCTTCCAAATAGAGGATGTTATTTGAGGCTGGAGAGGGATCTGTGGGTGAACTTGGAGCTATAGGTAAACTCTGGCGTGTACGTTTTTATATGGAGACAGTTTGTCATTGTCATCAGATTTGCAGAATCCTTTTGGACCCAGAGAAAGTGAAACATTCCCTCGTGGAGTGCATTCTGCTCAGGCTAGCAGGACTCTGCCCAAGCCCTTCTTTACAGGCTTCCAGGACAGCCCTACCTCAAATGTGTTCTGTCCCAGCACTGGCAAAGCGCCCCCCGGATTGTAGCAGCTTGCTCTTCTATCATTTTCCCCCTGTCCTAAGCTGCCAGTGATGACCTGCCAGTTCCTACCATGCCCCTTTCCTGTGGCAGCAAAACTGTTTCTTTCCCACTGTCTTACAGGTGGAGAAGGAGACGCCCTCTAGCAATATTCTACAGTCTTCCAGGGACCCTCCTTATACTGCCAGCCCGCATGACCCAGTCAGAAATTTCCCCCCTCCCCCAGTTTAATCTCCCAGCCACCCTCACTGCCTCCCTCAGCCTGTAGCTAAACCCTGGGGTCACCAGATCTCAGATACCTCTTCCCATTCCCCCACCCGTCTTGGATCTCATCAAACACAATTTTTAAAGATTCAGTCTTAGAATCAGATAGTGAGAGGCTTCCCTGGTGATCCAGTGGTTAAGAATCTGCCATGCAATGCAGCGGACATGGGTTCAGTCCCTGGTCTGGAAGTTGAAATCCCACACACGGCAGAGCAACTGGGACCTGACACAGCCAAATAAACTTTTTTAAAAAATTAGATAATGAAGTTCACACCTGTTGCCTGGTTTCTAGAGTTCTAGCTCTTGCAATGCTGCTTCAGTGATGAGCAAAGAGTAAAAGCATAGTTAAGCACAGTTACAGTTACTACATTCCTTTAGTACATAGGAAAGAGAAGGCAAAATTTCTTTAAAAAAAAAAAAAAAGCCCCCAAACGTTTCTCCCTTAATTGACCCTCCTGCTCCAAAGGTTTCCCTTCCCTGCGCTAAACAGTTGCAGTGACAGCACACAGGCTCTGGAGGGAGGTGGGTTCGGTCAGATCCCAGCTCACTCCTCACTGTGGGATCTCAGGCACTGCTTCATCTCCCTGCGCCCGTCACTCTTTTCATCTGTGACGCAGCAGCAGTGCCTGCAGTCAGCCACTCTTCCCTCATGGGCTTGTGAAAACCCAGTGGAAAGGTGGTGCTTGTGTTTCACTGACATACTGACATGCACATGTGATAATCACCAGGTCTTAACCCAGGTAAGACCACTTACACATGACAACCACTGAATCTACCCATTACCATTAGTGACACTCTGGTGCCTCTCATTTGGGAGTGAGAACCCCTTGACAGAGGCTATAGCTTAAAATCTAGGCTTGCTTCAGAGAGACTGCTGTCGCAGTGGCCCTGATGCTGAGAAGACTCTGGGCAGCACTCCTGCACCCATTCTGCTGGTCTAGAATGATCAGAAGAGTTCCAGGGCTTCCCTCTACTGTGTGCACTTCAGAAAACCACCTGACTGTTGGTCAGAGGGTACAAATTTCCAGTTGCAAGATGAATAAGATCTGAGAGTCTGATGTACAGCATGGTTGTTATAGTTAATAAAGCTGTATCATATACCTAAAAGTTGTAGAGAGAGATGGTCTTAAATGTTTCCACCACACAAAAAAAGAAATGGTAATTATGTGACCTGATGCAGGTGTTAGCTAACTCTGGTGGTAATGGTTTTGCAGTATGTTAGTGATGCAAATCAGCATGTTGTGCACCTTAAACTTACACAATGTCATGGGTCAATTATATTTCAAGAAAGCAGGGAAAAGTAGAACCAAAAAACTCCAGAAAACCATCTCACCCTGAAAATGTGATTTCTCTCCCAGCACATTTGCAGGTCAGCCACACTGGCTGGATGGGGGGAGCTGTATGGACGCACTGGCTACAACTATATTTTCTCAGGTGAGCCTTGAGCTGCAGCCTCTGTGACTAAGAACAGGAGCCCAGCCATGGAGAATAGCTACCCAGGGCCACAGCGGTGGTGGTGGTTGTGGGGATGGGCAGCAACCTGGGGCGGGGGCAGGGACGTCTAGAGCCCCTCCCTTCATCACCTGAGAAGATGCTTGTGGTGAGAAGAATGCCAGGCATGTGGGGCATCAGGTCCTGGAAAAGGGAGGAGCATGGTCCTTGGGGTGGAACCAGGGGTCAAGCAGCCCTTGCATGGAGCCCCTGTCACACCCCAAGTGCTGACCGCAGGTTCTTCCCACAGGGGGTGCAGACGACGCCTGGGCAGATGCAGAGGATCTCACGGAGGAGGACTGTGCTGTTCGGTCAGTGCCAGGCAGTTATGGGTCTGGGCATGGGTGAGGGGCAGGTATGTGACCAGTGGTGGCCGTTTCCAGCTGTTGGCCGTGACATTATCAGTGGTCCAGGTGAGTGGATTGGCTTCCTTCGTCCACGTCCCTGAAACAGAGTGGCTGAAGTCCGCCCTGTAGCCTCACTGCAGCTGACTTTATGAACTACCTGAGCAGTCTCTCTTTATCCTGGCTACTCACCAGGACCCCAGAGGGTGTGCTCCAGTCCTAGGATTCCTGGCACTGCAGGCCCAAGACATGGCGCAGACACCTGTGTGTCTTCAAGCCCCATAGTTTCCAGGATGTTGACATCTGGCCTACCAGGTGATGCCGGACACACCTGGCCTGGGGACTGTGGCCAGCACATCGGCGATGCGGGCACCAGGAGTTCCGCAGCTGCGTGACTGGTGCCATAAGGGAGTACAACACAGAGGAGTGCTTTAGCTCCCCAAAAGGGAGGGAGGGGGCTGGCTCCCACTCTTCCTACCTCCTTTCTAAATACTTTGTAGAAAATGACAGTAATGGTGTTTTGGAAAAGCTCCTTTGCATGGTCTGTGCCACATGGAAAGTCTTTAACTGGTGTCCGGCATCTCTGGAATGCACATCAGCACCCTAGTCAGATCAGCTGCCCAGAATCACGGCTCGGAGCTTGAAAAGGCATCTTGCTGTGCCCAGCTTCTGCCTGCTGGTTCCACGAGCAGTGGCTCTGGCTTGCACACAGGAATGTTTGGCTCTTCCCCCGAGATCAGACGACCTCTGCCCCAGCCAGGCCGTCTTCCACATTGCGCACTGTTCTTGGCGAGGCATCTGCTGGGTTCAGCAAAGCAGTGGGCATTAAAAAAATAAATTAACGGTGACTGTTTTATTTGTTCTACTTTTGCCTTTATCTGTATGACTGATCAGAAGGCAGCCTGGAGATTAGGAAAATTTCATCTTTCTCCTTGTTTCAGAGGCCTTCTAAGCAGAGGGAATTCACTTGCTAGTATTTTACAATCAGTTGATAAAATAGCTCTAAAAAGTCCATCTCCCAATGAGAATTCCAATCTGTTACATTTTGAACAAGTCATATGGCTAAAAATGGTAATAAATGGGGGAGAGGGAGGAGGGTAGAGAGAGATAAACTCTAATGGAAGCTCAGAGACTCAATCAGCCACCAGCCTGCTGCTTTTTAGAACTCGGAGATTATCTTGAGTCTTCTGGCTTAATGTCAAGCAGCACCAGAAAGCCCTTTCCCGCCCCAGCTGCATATTGCTTCTCTTTGAAATGTGTCCCAGAGAGCAGGATAATCTCTTGGAAAGTCACCTTCCCTCACCTTCACTGGGACCGCTGTCCTGTCTGGCCCTCCCAGCCACCCTTTCCTGGAGGAGGGAAACAGAAGTGCTCCTGTAGCTCCTGGACTTGCGGGAATGGACACTCAGTGCAGCTTCTCCCTCTGGCTGTCTTGTTTCAGAAGTTCCGACACGCATCTCTTTGATAAGGTCAGAGGCTATGACATCAAGCTGCTCCGGTACCTGTCAGTCAAGTACATCTGTGATCTGATGGTGGAGAACAAGAAGGTGAAGTTTGGCATGAAGTGAGTGCAGGGCACCCTGCTCCAAGTGGGTGGAGGCCATGTCTTCACAGGCTTGTGGGCTCGGGGATGGTGCAAAGCAGTCACCAGGGCACACTGGGTGCCAGGCCTTGAGCATCCTCTTCCTGTATCCTCGCACAGCCCTCCCTATGAGGAGGTTCTCTTGTCCCCCTCATGCAGGGGAGAAACAAGCCACAGAGGTTAACTCACTTGCTCGGGGTGGTCCAGTAGGCACCGGGGGAGCCGCCAATGTCTCGCGTACTCTGCTGCCGCTCCACCATCTCTGGTGGATTAGTATCTCTTTTAAAGTGGATCCAAAAAAATAAGGTGGATCCAGAAAATCGGTAGTCACTCAATTTTTATATGTGGTATGGACCAAGTGTTCAGAAGACAAAGAAAAATGAGAAAAAATGGAGCCTAGGTTGGGGTGATGAATTTGCAGAATTTTCCCAAAGTGTTGCTTGTTTATTTTTTTTTATAAAACTGACCTTTAATTATGCCATGTTTATCTTAGAAAATAAACCACGCTGAGGCTAAGTTACAGCTCAGCTGTCTGTAGGTCCCCCTGTCAGAGTAGTCCTCTGTCTGTCAGATGCTGCGGGAGCATCCTCGCCCGATGCTGGAGAAGACGGTGCAGAGGAGAGTCCCCCTCGGGGCCCCTGCTGAACAGCATCTCGGTGGTTGTGCTCTTTTCTCTCTGCGCTCTCAGTCAGGGCGGCTGTGCTTCCTTCATCTGGGAGGCTTATAAACATTGGGGTTCTGTGGCTTCAGGTCCCACCACAGGTGCTCTGGTGTCGGGGAGAGTCAGCGCTCTCACCTGGTGACTTCGGGTAGGCAGCAGAGAGGTCCCGTTCATAATTGTTCAAAGTAAGCCTAGCTGAAGGGCCTCATCCCAGCTTGGAGAGAGGTTTCTGTGGCAGGAGGGGTGTCTGAGGCTGTGGTGGTGCTTGTGGGGACTGGCACGCATGGGTTGTGATGCTGTAACACGTTGTGTCCTGTCTTGTAGTGTTACCTCCTCCGAGAAGGTGGACAAAGCACAGCGCTATGCCGACTTCACTCTCCTCTCCATCCCGTATCCAGGTAGGGGCTCCTTCCAGGGTCTGGTCAGGGGACGGGCTTCCTAGGACTGGGGCTCTCGCGGCCATCTGCAGGCACTGGCCGCTCAGGTGCCCTGGAGCTCCCCGGTAGCATGCACTGTTGCTCAGTGTGGGACAGTGTGGTTCCCGATCCTTGGCTCTCAGCTTAGGGTAGGACACTGTCCTGGCACGGGTTTGCCCTGGGAGGGGCCCAGGGATGGAGTCCAGACTCAGACCCAGCCTCCTGCACCCTTGAGCGAGTCCTTGACCGTGCCAGTCCCAGGTTTTCTCAAGCATCACTGGAAGTTGGTAAGGCTTAGCTCAGGGTCTTGTCGGATTAGGTGAGGTCAGGTTGATCAGCATGCTCTGTGCCACTAACGTGTTGTTCTTGGGGTCAGCCACCAGTTGTGCCGTGCTGGCTATGGTGACGTTAGCGCTCTGTCCTCAGTTGCACCCACGTTGCAGAGCTCTGTGGTGAGCACACAGCTGGCTGCATGTGTCTCTGGCACAGACTGTATGCAATCTGTAGCCAGGGCAGTGTTCTCTACACTGCATGGGTCCATTGGTAGCATTGTAGCCTTCTAGCAACACCTGCTTGTTCAAGGAGGTATGAGAGCCCTAACCTCAGCGCCAGACTTTGTGAACAGACAGCAAAAAGTGAACTCATTGTCCTTAAAACCTCTCTCCTGCTCCTCAACACCAGCCCTGCCTTCGGTCCTGTGCTGGATCTTGTCTCTTCATCTTGGAGCCATGGGGCCAATGGCAAGAGCAGACTGGTGACCCCAGGTTGCTGTCTTGCCACAAGTCCTTCTCTAGAAACTCAGGTTTATCTGGTGCCTGGTGTTCAGAGGGTATCGTCCTCAATGTGAGCTGGCAGTACCTGAACCACGACTGCCAGTGGCCTGGCTGTCTCACTCTGGCCTCATTCAGGGACTCTCCTCCCTCTTCTCTGCCAGCTCAGCATGTGGTGGCTTATAGGACTGGGCGTGTATCTCAGCTGCAGCACTGTGTCCTTGAACAAGTCCCCTAACCCTTCCGAGGATAAATGAGGATAACGCTGTTTATTTCTGGGTGATGTGCCAGGTCCAGCCCTGACCGGTGCTCGCTGATACTGGGCCGAATGACGGGTGCATGGGAGGAAAGGCTTGTTTTGGGCAGATGCTGAACCGTTACAGTGATGCCGTGGGCTTGGCAACATCAGAGCTGTCAAGAAGATGTCCCACCTGGGGGTCTGCATGAGGGCTTCCATAGTGTAGTTTTCAGGTTGGTTTTCAGACCAGGCTCCCCATTCTCAGGAGATGCTTCGGGGTCCCCAGACTGAAGTACTCTGCCTAATGGGAGAGCTCTGTGTTGGCTAAGGACCCAGGCGTCAGCTTTCTGTATTTGTATTCAGGTTCTCAGTAGGACTTGGTTTAGAAAAAATTGTTTAGCTCCAAAACAGTGGCACAATATCCTTTCTGCTGTCATTGGGCAACTTGTTATAAGACTCCTGAAACTAACACCATTTGACCCAGTTATTCATTAGGCTGTAATCCAGCCAGCCTGGGCCCGCAGATGTTCATCACATGAGTTTATTTTTTTTGCCACACAGCATGTTAGTTCCCCAAGCAGAGATTGAACCCATGCCCCTGCATTGGAAGGCAGAGTTTTAACCACTGGACCGCCAAGGGAGGTCCCTCGTCATGTCCATTTACACCCAGCCAAACATGGGTAATGTTTTCATTAATCAGAATAACAATTATGTAAATGACAGCACAGCCACCCATAGTATTGTAGAATGAGATACTACACAGTCATAGAAAAATGCTTAAGGCGCTCATAATAAGCACAATACAAAATGAAATAGTAAAATCTCAACTGTGTGAGAGGAAAAGTGCTTATACAAAGGTTAAGAAAGAAATACACCAAAATGGTAAGATGATACTATTTATCTCTGAATTTTCTTCCCTCTTCCCAGAATATCATGGACTGGATCTGATAGTCATGTGTGTGTGTTGAGGGGAGAGTAAGGGGGGGTGGGTAATCAATAAAAATTCAGAAGCCTGGGGTGGGGGAGATGCTATGTGAGGGCACAGGAGAAGCACCTTTTACTTCTTGTGCTTATGGTCTTGAATTTCTTCATCTGCCTATATTACTTCATAACAAAATTAACATTATCCAGACCAGATCCTGAAATGCGCTCTGCTGCCATTTTGGGGGTCTCTGTTGAGCCCCTCTGATGAGTTTGAAGCCCAGACAGGAACTGTGGTGGTATCAGTTCTCTGTTAGACTAACTTAGGCTTCGACTGGCCCTTGAAAATGAGAAGTGTTCTGGGAGCACTTCCCTCAGGCCCCAAAATAGATGGGGCCGAAAACTCCCGAGCACAAGTCTAATTTGTTTCCTTCTTGAGTGAGCGCCTGCTCTCTCTTCTCTTTTGGGTCCATCCCTTTGCCTCTCAACAGGCTCAGAAGCCCATTGAGGTAATGAATGTCAGGCCTTGCCCTGGGTACCGAGGCTGTTTTAATGACCTCCATTTCTCACAGTCAGTTGCTTCTGTATCACACACTGCTCAGAGCTGGGCCTGGAGCCTGCAGTGTTGATTTGAGTGCTTGAGTCTGAGAAAGCAGAGCCCTTCACGGGAGCTCTGAGGAATAATTGGTGTCTCTTCTAAGCCTGGGCTGATAAGCTCAGGGCCTCTGTCTGATATTTATATTTCTTCTTTCTCCCAGTGAGGCACCCAGGAATAGGCTGAAGTGTTAGGGCCGAGTATTGTTGCCTGACTTCCCCGTCTACAGAGGGGCATGGGGACTTAGAGTGAAGGAGGGCAGAGGTGGGGGGTAGATAAGAGCCACGTCTCCAGGACACAGGGGCTCGGTCTCCAGATTTTTCCCTTGAGAGGAACCTTTCCTTTGTTCCCTGGGGTGACCTCAGGCTGAGCGTGGCCCAAGGAGCTGGAGAGTTCCCTGAGAATGTTGATGGCCTGTGGCTACTTTGACAGAATTCAGGCAGTTGTTCTGTTGCCTTTGGGGACCTCCGCAGACTTGGACCTGTGGCCAAAGGCTTATGTCCTTCAGAGTTTGTGTTGGCTCTGGCAGAGGACCTGAGAGGAATGCAGGAAGCCTCCCGCCAACCCCCTGGCCCTGGCTGTCCTGGCCGCATGATGAGGGCAGGCCTCATCCCCCCTGGATCGAGCCGCAGGGCTGCGCTGGGGCTCTTGGCTTCGGCTTCAACAGGAAAGTGGCCCCAGTCTGCTGTCGCCTGAGGGCTGTCAGTGCTGTGCCAGGTGTTCTGTGTGTTATTCCATTTTATCCTTAACCACTTGACGAATAAGAAAGTCAAGGCTGAGAGAAGGTAACTTGTTCATGGTCACAGAGCTAAGCTAAAGGCTGACGCTTGAGGCTGGGAACGTTGGCAAGGCCCTTTTGATTCGTTTTCTCTCCATTCCTGAGGTCTTAACCTTGGTGGTGGTTCTTAGAGCGTTTCACTTGTCAAGATTGGCATGTGTCTGGAGCCCCTGTCCCGTTTCAGACACTGTCCATGGTCCTTCCCTGCATGTTACAATGCTCAGTCCTCACTGAAAGCCTGTGGGCCTGCTGTAGGCAGACCTCATTTTCCTGCTCTTCAATTTATTACTCTTTACATATTACATCTTCTATAAACTGAATGTTTGTGGGAACCCTGCATCAAGTCTGTTGGAACCATTTTTCCAGCATTTGTTTACTTCATTTCTCTTTGTCCCATTTTGATAGCTTTCATAGTACTTCAAAATTTTTCATCATTACTACATTTGTTATGGTAATGTGTGATCAGCGATCTTTGACTTTACTGTTCCAACTCATTGTAGGCTTAGATTTTGGTCAGCAATTTTTAGGAATAAAGCTTTTTTTTTTTTTTTTTGGCCACACCACGTGGCTTGCAGGTTGTTGGTTCCCCAACCAGGTGTTGAACTGGGCCCACGGCAGTACCCTTGAGTCCTAGCCACTGAACCTCCAGGAAATCCCCTCAAGTATTTTTTATATTTAAGGTATATTGGTTTTTTTAGACATCATGTAATCTCATTTAATAGACTATAATATAGTGTAAGCATGGCTTTAATGTGTATTGGGAAACCAAAAGATTTGCATGGCTTGCGTTATTGCAGTATTTGCTTTATTGGAGTAGGAGCAGGGTGATCTTAGGTGACTAGATAAGTTGCTGAGAAAGTGCTGCCAGGGTTCAAATTGTAAGCCCCGCTTTTGTCCTCTGGTTGTTGGCACTTCAGGGGCACATAGAGGAACCTGAAATGAAAGGAGAGGTGACCAGCAGCCACTGAGCACAGATGGAGAGAGAGGTGTGCAGGCAGGCGGGTCTCATCAGGAAGGGTCTGTGACTGGAAACTGGAGGGGCATCGGAGGTGCCCGCCCGCCCAGTCCAGTCCCAACTCGTGTCAGCTGGTGGCCACCTTGGTCCTCCAGCACCCAGGGGCGTCTCAGGACACTGGGCCAGGAAGAGTGGTGTTGTAACTCTGCGCTTCTTTTCCAGGCTGTGAATTTTTCAAGGAATATAAGGATCGGGATTACATGGCTGAAGGGCTCATTTTTAACTGGAAGCAGGTATGAATAGTACCACTTGTCAGCTTGGGTCTTCTGTTCCTTTGTGAAGGGAAACCAGCTAGAAAATTTTGAGGGGAAAACAGCTACCCTTTTCATTTCTTTTCTCTTCCCTGAATGAGTCTCATTTTTTTTTTCTCCCTCTTCTCCTTATATATACATGTTTAAATTCTTATCACATACTGTTTTCTCTCCCCCTTTAGTTTCTCCCTTTCTTTAAAAAACTTTTCAGGGACATGGTAGGAGAAGCGCTTCATCTTTGCTTCACCACCTTCTGTGGGAAGAAGGGGCAGCCTTCTGGTCCTCCCCAGTGGCTGGTAGTAGCCCAGGAGCTGCTGGAGGCTGATTCCAGGCCATCACCTCTGTCTCAGCAGCAAACACTCAAATGGTCAACTGAAAAGCTTCACTTGGCAGCGATATCTGGTCCCTTTGATTTTTTAAGCTTTCCTTCTCAGGGTCGCCCAGGCATCTGGCTCAGAGAAGGCAAGCACTGTCGGGGGGGGGGACACCCTGCCTGCTCATGGTAGCCACTTCAGGGTCTCTGCCTGTCACCATAGCGTCTCCTGGTGGCCAGCCTGTGTCTTTCACACTGTCTCTCACAGTGTCTTTCTGTCCCCAGGACTACGTCGATGCCCCTCTGAGCATCCCTGACTTCCTGACTTGCTCTCTGAATATTGACTGGAGCCAGTATCAGGTGAGGGGACCCCTGGTGCCCACCCCACAAGCCCCTCAGGCAGAAGTCTGAAGGCCTGGCTCACCTCCAATCTCTGACAGCCTAGGAAAGGAGGAGCTGTTGTCTGTCTGACTCTCTCTCCTGATTTGCTCTTGGCCCAGAAAATCAAAGCTTTCTGAACATGACTCACTGAAAGATTTGCATCCACCAGGGGCTTCTGTTTCCAGAGGAGGACTGCATGGAGTTTGCTTTTCCGGTTCTAGGACTTAGTGACTTTTTTCATTTTACCTTTTAAATGCATGTTCCATCAGAGGAAGTGCAGCACTCCCTGACCTGATTTGCTCATAGAAACCTCAAAGTTATTTCCATTGTGCGTCTCTCTTGTTACTGTCTGCCGTGGAAGGGGTGCCAATCTTACTGGATGAACCCATCTGTCTACCACGTCTGGCCCACACTGTACAAGCCTGTGGCCCATTAGCAATCTCCTTGCCACCTGCTTCAGCCAGGACAGGGAGCCTCATTCTGCCCACTGCCTTCCCCACACCTATTCCCTCTGCCTGGCTGGCCCCCCACCCCCCACCCCAGGCTCCTCTTGCCTGGCTGACACACTGTCTTCAGGATTTGGCTTGAGTGTCCATTCCAAGAAGACTTGCCTGATGGGCCGCTTATCCCCATCCCTGGGGAGTTGGGTGCTTGCGTTACATTCCCATTAATCCCTGGGCATGTCTGTCTGGGAATTTTCCACTGAGCTGTAGTTACTGATTTATAATAGAGCTGCTTCCCCATCTTCTGTAGACTGAACACTAGGAGGATGGGGAACCATGGCTTGTGCATCCTAGAACTGAAAATGGCCAGGAGCCAGAAGGCTGAGCCGCTGAATACCTAGAAAACATCCTGCTTCCGTCCTCTTTTCATCTTCCCCGAGTCTGGACGGTTCCCATTCAGCCTTGAGATCTCCCTTTCCCAGAGGCCCAGTCCCGCCCCCCTCCGTTAGGCAGCTCTGTGTTCCAGTATCACCTTGGACTTTGTCATCCTAGTAGCAGATGGTCTGTAAAGGCAGAGGCCATGCTCTCCCTGTTTTTTTCTTGTACATCTGCCCCCGGACACAAGGCAGATGCTCCCTAACTATTGGCATGAACCAGTTATAGGGGTGTTGGGTCTTCTCTGGGTAGGTGTTTTTGCAAGAGAGGGGACTTCAGAAGGAGAGCCGATAGGTTGTTGTGTCCCAGAAAGGTGGAACAGGCTGAGGAGCCTTGTTCCCTACTGTCAGGCCCCAGTCTGTACCCAGACAGGCGGCATGGCCAGAGAAAGTGGCAGGCCTCCTCCTGAATCTGCTGTGTGCAGAGCCCTCAAGCAGGCCCCACCCAGCCACCACCTCTCTCTCTGCTGGCACCACGCTTTGCCCTTGTGCATACAGATCTGAGAACCACCTCCTCACCAAATTCCCTATAACTACATCAGTGCTGTCAACTGTGTTGACAGTATTGATGCTGCCAAGGAAGTCTGTCTCTCTGGGAAGGGTCCCTTGTGTGTGAGGAGTTTTGTTTAGTGGAAAGAGGCCCTGGGTGTGAGCTCCTTTGGCTGTTCTCACGGGGCTGTGTGACCTTGAGCCAGTGACCTCACTTCCCTCTGAAAGCAGAATTGACAGCAGTGTTTCAGAGTTGTGGTGAGGTTCAGATATGATCACTGCATGAAAGTGTCCTGTTAACGGAAATGCCGGACCAATTTAGTGATGATGATTAGGGGGCGACTCCTGGCTTACTGACTCGGGAGTGAGCATTCATAAAGCCCCAGGCACGAGGGTAGGGGGCAGGGCTTCCCCCAGCCATGCCTGCTCTCTGGTGTTGCTCAGCCAGTTGGCCACACTGCGCTTTGTGTCCTCTTCCTCAGCCAGGAGCGAGCTCGGTCCTTTCAGCCCCTGAGCTGACTCTTCATCTCCCAGGTCCACCCATCACCACTCCCTTCACCCTCTGCCAGGTCACCCAGGCCCGGGGCTCTGGGCCAGGCCTCACTTGGCGATCCAACACCTACAGTCTTTCCCAGGTGTCCAGTCATGTGGACACCTGAAAGTCAAGCTGCCCAAAATGGAATTGTCAAAACCCACAGCACCTCCAGGCCCTTCACCATTTACCCAGATGCTCAAACTAAAAATGTTGGGGATGGTGGTTCTTAACCCTCACATCGATGGCTAGTTCCCATCAGTTCTCTAAGTCTCTGCCCCAGGGATTTTCTCCAGTCCTTCCTGCTTCCTTCTCATGTCACTGGCCTAATGCAGGCTACCATCATCTAATGGCTAAGAGTGGGGCCACATTGAGGGACAGCCGACTGGAAGTAAGGAACGTAAAGCATGTGAACAGGGCCTGGTAGAGAGCAGTACTTAGGTGACGGGCCAAGATTGTCATTGTCACTTCGTCCTTCCAAATTCCATGTGACTTTTCCTGTTATCCTCAGAAGTCTAAGGACCCTCACATGGTCCACCAGTTCCACATGGCCCAAGCTTGTTCTGGTGACTCACTGGCTGTCCCCTCCCTCTCCTCCAGCCACCCTAGCCGTCTTCCCTAGGAAAGATGCTCGCCAGCTTTGCACGTGCTGTTCTCTATGCCAGAAACACTGGGTGCTTTCCTTAAACCCTTTTTTCACATGCATGTCACCATCTCTAAAAAGCCTTACCTAATGGTCCCTGAGGATCGGGCTAGGCTCACCTCCCATTACATGGTTCCACAGCATCTTACAGGGCTTCTTTTAGTCGGCACGCCTGTAGCAGTTCACTTTGCCTTCCATTCCCTGCATCCACGAGAGCTGGGGTTATTGTGTTCACTGCTGTGTCCCAGAGCCAGGCCCACTGTGGTGGTCACAGCAGTGTTCCCAGCGCACGAGGAGCAGTGCTGCCCTCTGAGTAGCGGAATGGAATCCCCTAGTGCTCTGCTTTTTCATTCTGTGCCCAAAGACCCCTTCCAGCCACTGCTTCTCCTCACACAGACCCCTGACCATGAACAGGCACTGAAGGAACTTTCCACGGGTACCTCCTAGTCCCTAAGCACTAAGCCTTATAGATGCAGAACCCTCATTGGACTTTGTCCAGGAGAAGAGACAACAGCATAATTGTCATCTGTGTAGAAAGATTATCAGCCAGTGGCTACACAAGAAGGCTCTATACATAGATAATGGGGCTGGGCCTTTGAAGGATGAGTAGGAGTTTGCTAGCCAGGGGAGAGTACTCCAGGCATACAAATGTAAGCCAGATATGTGGTACTTGGCTCTGCACCCGGAGGCTTTTTCACGGCACACGTGGGGTGAGTCAGAAATGAGTGTAGATTTTCATGCATTTCCATGGTCCTCTTCATATTCTATACTCTCCTTAGACATTCATTTCCTCACTCTAGTATTCGAGGAAATAGACACCACAGGCCTGGGTCCAGACCCCACCTCAGCTTAGCTGTGTGACCTTGGGCTTTCGCCAACCCAGTGCTCCCCAGTCTGTGGTTCCTGCCCCCGCCCTAGGCGCCATGGCCAGTAGCGTCTCCTGGCGCTTCCTGGTCATTAGTGTCCCCTTCAAACAGCTGCTGTGGTCGGGGGGCCCTGCAGCCTCGTCCTTGGTGGCCCTGCCATCTCCTGGCTGCTGCAGCCCTCCCCACACCCGTCCAACCACCCCGCACATCTGCCGCAAGTCTCCTGCCTCTCCTGCTCTTCCTTCCCTGGGACTCACAGTGAGGAGGAAATCTGGACAGTGGTGTGTCTGACACGTTGAACCAGACAAGCAGAGAGACCCCCAAGCTGCCATGGGTAATAACTTTATTAATGTGGCGCTGCAGCAGCTTTCTCTGGAGCCACTGAAAGTGGGTCAGGCCTCTCCAGGGTCTGTGGGAGGGTCAGGTAAATGAGCCTGTTTTAAATTCCTGGGAAAACCATTCCAATTACAGGTGCTGTGTTCACCCTCCCCGTGGGAGCACTCTTGCTGGCATTCACCGCGGCCTCTCTGCACAGCCCAGACACTGAGAAGCAGTTGTGTTGAGAGACTGTCCCCAGCTCAGGGGGGAGGGGGCCACAGAACTGGGTCAGGCCCCTCCGTGGAGTTCCAGACTCCAAAGTGGGCTATTTCTCAGAGTGTCTAGTTTAGACCTTTTGCTTGGGCTAGAACAGAGTTTCAGATCTCTAATAAGCTTTTGCTTATTTTTTTTATCTCCTACCACATGGACATGGGCCTCCTGTTTAAAAGTTTTGTCTGCCAGACTGCATTTGTTATTCATCGAAAGACAGTATAGTGAGTAGCAGTAAAGAAGCGATTGATGAGAAGGCTGATATTTTCCTTAGTTTCTATGCTGTAATGGCAGATGAAGTGGCTCTTGCCGTTTGGTGACAATGGCCACAGGCTCGAGGTTCTTTGTTGACTTCTGTTAACTCCCTGGACAGCTGTGCTTGGAGCCCAGGACACAGAGGAGGTTAATATCCAGCTGTTGCTAGTGGGCATGGGGGTGTGGGTGGCCCGGGCCGCTGATGGCTTCCCCTTCCTCACTCTCCCTTTGGGAGGGAGCACGCCGAGGGTGGGGCCCATGGGAAAGGGGGCAGGGACATGTGGGAGTGAAGTCACAGCGCATCTGGGCCGGGGCCTGTGACCATGAACTGGGGTACTTCTTGCCCCAAAATAACTCTTACTAGTCTTTTATTTTTAAAATATTTTATAAATTCCCATTCTGAGTTAAATACGTATTCCTGGAATCCTTTTCTTTTTCTTTTCCAACAGAGTTGGGACCTGGTGCAACAAACACAAAACTACCTGAAACTGCTGCTTTCCATAATTAACAATGACGGTGAGTCCGCTTCAGCCTGCCTCAAGCCAGTGGATGTTCGGGGTGTTCCCAGGTCTTGACAGCACCAGTGTGTGACTATTGGAGCCTTTTGCTCTATGGGAGAAGGATATGGGGATTCGCTTATCATTGGCCGATTTATTCCATGTCCTCAAAACCCTAGAAAACAAAATTATGAACTTACGATCTGAAGCACACACAGGATGTTCCTACACTGGCTCAGCTGGCTGTGAGCTTTGAACCTCAGCCTTTTGTGTGAGGCTGCAGTGGCCTCTTCTGGTTCAGAAAGTTGAGAGAAAGTCAGTCTTGGCCTCTTCTTGGTCACATACAAGCCCATGGCAGGCCTGTTCTCCAGATGGTGCTCCAGCCAGTTTGACTGTTTTGATTGGATGAGCCCATGATGCTCAGTGTCCTGGGGCAGTCTGACTCTGACTTTTCCTTATCAGTCAGGACTTGTGTGAGGTTGCACTTGCTTGAACAATATAACCAAGAAGGCCCAAGAGCAGAGCCAGGTGACAAATAGCAGAAACAGTCTCTCCTTGTCTCACATCCACTGTTTAGTTAGCTCAAAACCAGCAGTCATTTCAGACTTGTCTCCTGCTGTCTTAACTCCTCCAGAAGAGAGACACGGTCTCTGTCCCAGAGCTCACACTCATTGTCTTCGTTTGGGTCGGGTGCCCATCCTTCCACTGTGGCGGGGTTGACGGGACATCCCATGCCTGCCCCTGGAGCTATGCTATGGTTCTGGGGTATCCTGGATCTCACCTCAGGCCTGGGCAGTGGCACAGCCCCTTCTCATCAGCCTGTGTTTGCTTTTCTCCCGGGCCACCTGTCCTGTGTTTCTGCGTAGACGATAGCGGGCTGCTGGTGCACTGTATCTCAGGCTGGGACCGGACCCCCCTCTTCATCTCTCTCCTGCGCCTTTCCTTGTGGGCTGTGAGTACACATGGGCTGGGCTGGGGGTCAGGGAGCCTTCAGAGGCCTTTCCAGGGTCTACTCTTGGGGAGCACTGAGCCTGTCTCCAGAAGCAGAGAGGGTTTGGCTTGAGGGACCTCAGGTGTCCAGAGCAGGAGTTGTAAAGTTTGACCCTCTTCCTGGGCTGTGGGGCAGCCTGGTTGTCAGGGGGCTGTGGGTGTGGTTCAGCCCCTGAGGCCGGGAGGGGGCCTCTCTCTGATCTGGATGCGTCTTTTCCAGGACGGGCTCATCCACGCATCCCTGAAGCCTGCTGAGATCCTCTACCTCACAGTGGCCTATGACTGGTTCCTCTTTGGGTGAGCCTTTGGGGGACGGACGGCAGGCTGTGGGGTGGGGGCAGTGCCTCAGGAACCAAGTGTGTGCGTGGGTGCGGGGGCTCCTGTGACAGGGTCGAAGGTGAATACAGTCCCACCCCCTTGGGAAGACAGGAGGCACTGGTCAGGCCCCCCTGAGGCTGTGGGGCCAGAGCCATAGGCTCTCCCCGTCCTCCTGCCTGTGTGCTCCTGGCTCTGACTCCCTTGCCTTCTTGTTTCAGGCACATGTTGGTAGATCGACTCAGCAAAGGAGAGGAGGTAGGTACTGCTCACAGTCCACGAGCACATGTCAGGGCTCTGCGAGCTCTGGCTCCTGTACTCCAGAGAGGGACAGGATGGCAGTCTGTTTGGTGTCCACACTTTGGGAGCAGTTCCTTGCCTGGTCTGTGCTGGGGTCAGGCAGCGTGGCGGGAAGAAATCTAGCACCACAGCCCCCCGTGCTGCACCTCAGTCCCCCACTCTCTCAGGAAGGACACTTACCTGTGACCTTCATATGTCAGTCCTCGTCCCCTCTTTCTCTGCCATCCTTTTTACGGCTGACCTTGTTTTCTGCACTCAGCTTTGGAACCAATTTACAAGTCGTTGCTGTGCCCCTCACCTTTACAGCTGAAACCCAGAAGCTCTTCCTTGGCCTCTGTCCTCATTACACCCACTTGGCACCTTTAAGTCCTAGGGCTGTCCGTGCAGACAGAGTCCTGCCTGCTCCTCACCACCAGCCCAGGCCCAGCCAGGGGCCCTGGGTCCCCTTCCTGTCTGGGCACTGTCCCTCCTTCCTCCTCTCTGCCCTGTCCACACAGCATCCTTTTTGTAACCTTCGCCTTGTTACTCTTTTTTCAGCCTATTTTCCCTATACGCAGACCTAGAGTCGGACTTGAGTATGAACCCTAGTTGTGCCACTTATTACCTGGGTGACCTTGGAAAGTGTGATTAACCTTGAGTCTCCTGGTGTCCATCCTGACCCCTCACAAGGAGAACGAGTCCAGATGCCCAGCGTGGGAGTTGCACGCAGTGCTGTCTCTTTCTCCACACCCCCACCCCCCATTTTCTTGAAGCATCCTTCTCCCTTCCTGAGGCTGCCTCTTTCTGGGATCTTATCTTGCGCCTTCTTTTGTTCCTCCCTCTCAGCTGCTCCTCTCCCCTTGCAAATCTCTTCTGAGCACTTATCGCATCTGCCAGAACTGCAGAGCTCATAAGCCTGTTCCTCAGAGGCCTCCGTGAACTGTCAGAGGCGGTGACTTTGGCACGGAAGGCTTATGAGCCCCTCTACAGCCTCCCGTTTTGAGCCTTGCCCCAGGACCTGCCACCCGCCCACCACCACGCTGTCCCCACCCGCCGAGGCAGGCCAGATTTCACCTCAGAGACTGGACGGGGGTGCGGCTGAGCCCAGTGGGTTCTGGATTCAAACCCTGGCCATGTCTTAGTGTAACCAAGAGGGTCTCCTCAGCCAGGAGGGCGGGCAGAAGGTGGGCTTTTCTCTTAGCCCCCCTTCCCTCCTTCCCACTTCATACACACAAGATACCGATACTTTAAAAACATGCAGAAGGCTGGGACTTGCTTCCTTTGCCTTTGAGATTCTCTGAGCACATTAGCATATTAAAGTCTGAAAAGTCTGTAATGAAGACAGCTATTTCATTTTATGTAAGAGGGAATTCCCTGGCACTCCAGTGGTTAGAACTCTGTGCTCAGGACTCCATGCCTTCATTGCTGAGGACCCAGGTTCAATCCTTGGTCAGGGAACTAAATTCCCACAAGGCAAAAAAAAAAAAAGAAATTATGTAACAGTTTTCAAACTGTACTGACCTTGGCTCCCTCCTTCCTCTTTTTGAGGAAATCTTACAGGGCTCTGGGATACTTTAGGTGTTTCTCCCAAGTGAGGGGTTGATGGACCACATCTTTCAGAATCACTGCAGAGACAGTGCATTGTGTGTACCTTGCAGAGGCCGAATGGACGTGGGTGCTGGCTGGAAGCAAAAAGGGTGTTTGCCCACAGAAACAGGGATGTGGATGTGGGGCCAGAATTCAGGGCCTCTGCCTGCCTTAGCCCGCCTCAGCGTTCATCCTGACCCTGGTCTCTGAGCAGTGCAGTCTGTGGGCCTGAACCACACTGTTCCTGGGTATTTCCCCTATGAAATCTGATTCCTTACCCTTCCATGATGTTCCTGCTGTGTCTTGCCTCCAGATTCTCTCTCCCAGCTGTCCTTCCCTGTGACCCTGTCTGCATGGTGTTCTCAGGAGAGACTGAGGGGGAGAAGCAGCTATTATCTTCATCTTTTTCAGTAGCTTGAGAACACATGTGTTAAACTTGAAGATGGTTTGAAACATCCCTGGCTTACCCTCTTGCGTTCTCAGGAAGCAAACATAGTCCCTTGCTTCCTTGCCCAGCCCAGGCATGCCTGCCTGAACTGCTGCGCCCTCTCTAGCACCCATTCCATTTCCACACCAGAATATCTGACAGGGTCCCTGGAGCAGGGCTGCTGTCTGGCAGGGGTGACCAGGGTCCCTGGCTGCCCTCTCCTGGGAGTCTAGCCACCTGGATCCTTCTCCCCAGAGAAGACTATCTTCTTATGTGTGCTGCTTTTTGGTCTGTTCCTTAGATTTTTTTCTTCTGCTTCAATTTTTTGAAGCATATCATCTCTGAAGAGTTCTCTGCTCTGAAGACACACAGGTAAGGAGAGACCTGCTCTTGCTGGAAGGCAGGTGCACTGGGAGGGGCTGTGCTAGGGCAGGTAGTCTCACTTGCCGTCTTCTCCCCACCCTGCTTCCCCGCATGCTGGGCAGGCTGGCCTTCTGTCCCTGCCTTCCCTCTGAGGGCACATAGGGGTAACTGGGGAGGGCCAGAGGGTGAAGAGGCTCATCTTGTGACTAGGGGTGCAGGGCATGTTGCTGGAGGGAAGGGATGGGGAGACCCCCAAGCTGCCCATGCAACCACCTCCGAGGCCAGAGTCCTCCTCCCTGAGTTGCTGCAGAGGTGTGTCTGTGCAGCCCCCCACCACGGAGCAGTGTGCTCACACTTTGGCCCACACAGGGATCTAGGCCTGGTGATTGCTTTAGGACCCCTGTGAGGGTTGGTGTCTGTGCCGTGTTCCCTCACCTTCCAAGTCCAGGCCCCCTAATGTGTTGGGCCAGACTTGACCTCTGAGGGGCCATGCTGACAAGAAGCAGGCTTTGCTGGCCTCCCGGAAGTGAGCCTTGGCCTTTTGCAACAGGCTAGGTAGGACCTGTCTCCACTGAGTTCAAGCTTCTTTTCCAGTTGGGCAGCATAGTGGGAGACAGAGGAGACCTCACAGTCCAATCTGGAGCTCACTGTTCTGGGTTCTGTTTATAGGAGGAAGAGTTTGCCAGCTCGGGATACAGGCTTCACCGTGGAAGATATCTGCATGCTGAGTGAGTTATGGGCCCTGGCGGACTTGTCTCTGTGCATCTTTCTGAGTATAGACCACATAGGGATTGTTTGTTCTAGAAACTTCTCTTTCCAGTCGTATGGTGTAAAAGAGGTGGGGGACCCCTCATAGGTGAAGATAACGTGCTGACTGATGGTCCTGGCCTCTTTTCAGGGCGGAAGGACCGTGGCAGCACCACCAGCCTTGGCAGTGACTTCTCTCTAGTCATGGAGAGCTCCCCAGGAGCCGCCGGGAGCTTCACCTATGAGACTGTGGAGCTGGTCCCTGCAGGAGCACAGACTCAGGCAGCTTGGTGAGGGCCAGGCTGGAACTGAGCTTGCTAACAGCTGGGAGCCAGGGCTCCAGCTCCAGGGAGCCCCAGCAACAAAAGGGCCCCAACAGTCGGCCTAAGAGCTCAGCTGCCTGCCCTGCTGTCTCTACTGTGCCTCAGAGGCCAGCCATCTGGTTGGGGAGGGATGCTGCCATGCTGGCCCAAGAGCATCAAGGGCCAGTGTTCCCTGTGAGACAAAGGAAGAAGCTGCAGGGCTGGGCAGATGGGGTGGGGTGAGGGGAGGGTGTTAAAGGGACTTCGTGGGGGCACTCCCTTGTATCAATTGCCTGGGAGGTGGGGCCAAGCTTAGGAAAAGAAAGAAGTACAGAGTACGAAATGATGGTTGCGGATCAGGAGCTCATTTGACGGTCAGCTCCTTTGAGAATCAGATGACTTTTCTCCCTGGACAAAGGGCTCGAGATTTTGTACAACACTTTAACGAGTTTTAAAACTTGTTCAGAATCTGTTGCCCAGCATGTGCACTGAGGCCAGTAGGTCAGTGTGTTTGGACGCCATAGTCCCTCTGTGAAGACCCAGCTCTCGTTGCCCATGGCCAAGCCCAGGGGAGTGCTGAGTGTACCCACTCCCATGTGGCATTTTTCCAGTGAAACTAAAAACGGCCCAGAGACTCAGCTCAGGTGAGCAGAGGGTGGGCCTGAGGTGGTCCTTCACCAGCAGCCCTGTCTTCCCACCACAGGAGGAAGAGCCACTCCTCCTCTCCACAGAGCATGCTCTGGAACCGGCCACAGCCCTCTGAGGACCGCCTGCCTCCCCACCAGGGTCTGGTGGAAGCCAAGTCCTCCAGCTCCTCATCCTCGAACCATTCTGACAACTTTTTCAGGATGGGTAGCAGTCCCCTGGAGGTCCCCAAGCCCAGGTGAGGAGCTCCAAAGTCCTTCCCTCTTGATAAGGCTGGAGCGTGGGATTCCAGGGCACACGGCCTGGTAGGTGGTATATCCAGGAGACCAGAGTGGATCGACAGACTTGCAGGCTCCCCCACTGTTTGGAGGATGGGTTCATGTTTGGGTACAGAGTGAAAGCAGGTTCACAGAGCAGTCTGAGACCCCTCCCTCCTGGAGCCCTGGCCGATGGGGAGTCGGGAAGGTAGAGCAGTTGTGATGTGATGGACAAGGAGTTGGGGCTGCCACCACCTGCTGCCTTTGCCAGGTCTCAGCCCCTGTGAATGCCACTGGGTCCTCTTGAGTTGCTTCTGGCTCTCCCATTCCTTGTCTGAATTGGTGGGGCACGGAAGAGAATGGACAGTAGGGAATCAGGCTAGATGTGTGTGGCTGGGGCAAAGCTCACAAGATGTTCACCCAGCAGGAGAGCAACTCAGCCAGGACAGACAGGTGGGCCTGGAATGTGCTGCCGAAATGATGTTTCTCTGGTGAGATTAAAGCTGAGCGCCGGGCAGGCTTAGGATTGAGGGATGGCCTGGCATTTGGGGAAAGGATTTCCTCACTGACCTCATACCTTCCATGTCATACAGCCAAGGAAGAAATCCTGTGATTTATTTTGTTTTCTAAAGCCTTGAGAATGTCTGGTCCTTCTGGAAAGAACAGAGCAGTGTGCAACTTGAGAGGTCCTTAACAAATGCCATGGAGAAAAGACCTTTAGCAGAAAAATCATAAGTATTAAACTCCACTCCAGATTCAAGCCTAGCTCTGTCTGATTTTCCAGAATTTCAGGTCTTTCCTTGTAGCAGACAATTTACCAAAGAGGAAACTGAGCCCAAAGGTGGCAAACTTACTATATAAGAAAAGACCTGAAACATTGGAAAATCTCCTTCCTTCGCCATCCTCTGGTTTTTCCTTTCTGGGCAAAGACAGGCACTGGAGGAAGGTGGGGAAGAGCACCCTCCCCTCGCAGGCTGAGCGGGTCAGCTCTAGGCGAGTAGGAGCTGCACTGTCCAGAGGGGTCACCTCTGAAGGTGAGCCCTTCAACTCCTAGCACCGCCATGTCTGACAAGGCTGTAGCTGAGTCTGGTAAGCAAAGGCCACAACCCCTCTGTCCCCACGGGTTGGTGGAGGCAGCTGAGCAGAGGTGGCACCCGGCAGATAAGCCCCCTGGCTGTGCTCGCTCACATCCTTGGTGCCACCCCATGTCCCTGTGTCAGCTTTCCCCAGGGCTGCTGTGGGGCTGCTGCGGCACCGCGTGACCCTCACTCTTGCGGGCTGGAGCTCTTGTTCACCATCCCTCCTTTTCTGCCTGTGCAACATTGCTGACAACTGGGAAGGAAACCAGAAGATTCCCCTAGACTCCTGGGTCCTCCTGGTCTTAATTGTCCAATTGTTAGGGCTCCCCTACTGAGGCAGTACCCCACCACACACCTTAGCTCTTTATCATTTTCTTCTTCCCGACATTCATTCCAATTTTGTGATCATTTCCCCTCTGTCTCCCCAGTGGTTATCCACCTGCACTGGGCTCAAATGCTTATGGTTGGTCCAGGATGGTCCAGAAGGCTGAGGAGGATTGGGAGGATTGGGGGTGTCCTCCTGAACTTGGGACCCTGTGAGCTGCAGCCTGGTGGAGGCGGCTGGAATAACTGGACCAGAATGGGGCACAAGGCCTTGGAGAAGCATGGGGTGGATGGCTGTGTGGGCTGTTCTGATGGCTCTGCTGGGTTGTTCTGGCAGTGCTTGCTTGTAGCCAGGCTGGACTAGGAGACAGGGTTCCGGATTGGATGCTTGTTTGCCAGGGGTTTTGAAAGACTAGATTCTGATTTGGAGCATTCTAATTATAATTATGTATCTCCATTAACATTAAAATTAATTTAGTCTTTCTTATCTTAAAGAGCCTGAGGGATCCTGTCATTAGCTTTCCTGCTAATCTTCGGTAGCAATAACCAATCAGCTTTTTAATGCAGCAGGAGGAGCTGTGTGGAAAGCTATGTGTGACAGCCAAAATTCCCCTAATAATATGAATTCTCTGGGTTTCATATGGGGCAGAGTCCTAAATTCTACCAGTGTATCTCTTTTTTTTTTTTAATTAAATTTTTTTTTTTTAATTGGAGGATAATTACTTGACAGTGTTGTGCTGGCTTCTCCCATACTACCATGTGTGAATCAGCCATAAGTGTGCACTGGGCTGGGCTCCCTGTGCTCGCTACACAGCAGCTTGCTACGAGCTGCCTGTTTTACACATGGCACCCCACCCCCCCCCCACCATGTCCATATTAGCATAGCTCGTTTAAGGTAGGACTTGCTGGGAAAGAAATTGGGGGAGCTTTGTCCAGAGTTAAGAAATAGGTGTCGGGTTAGGAAGAAGGTTCTGTGGGGTGCTGATTCTGATCCAGTCCCAACCCCATACCCCTCACTGGCAAGACTGGTGGCCCTTTTGTATCCTTAGTTGTCACTACAGTAGCTTCTGAGTTGTGTTTCTGGACCACTGTTAAATCTCTTATCATCTGCAGTGCTGGGCTGGGAAGAGGCAGGACGCCTCCCTGAGGCCTGGTCAGTAAGGTGCCCCTCTCCGTACGGTCTTGGTCTCTGCTCCAGGGCCAGACATCTCGGAGGCTGGGGATTGCTAGCATTGCACCGTCCTTGCCTGGGGTGGGAGGATGCTATCGCTGGGCCCAGCTGGAGGCCAACCTGCCTGAGGAGTAGATGAACTTGCCTGAGGGACATCTAGCAGCCTGGTTGAATAGCTGAGTGACAACATAGGCACCAACTCTGCTGCCCAGATAGCCACTCCTCCCCCATCCTTCCCCACCTACTAGCTGCTTGTTACAAGCAATGGGCTGTGTCCAGGCTGTGTTTAATGAGGCAGGGAAGCCAGGTTGCTTTATGTGACACATAGGGTTCCTGTCCCATGTTTGATGGGTTCTCACTTGGGGCTATAGGTCAAGACCAGGGATGAGTGGTGAGGAGTGTTAAGGCATGGCCAGCTTGAGACTGAGATGGGTAAGAGAAAACTTGGAGCCTCAAAAGACTTCTCCTTGGGCTGCTGCAGGAATGCAGAGGTCCCTGGTTCTCACACACTCACACACACACACACACAGCAATGCTGGATGAGTGGTGAGGAGTGTTAAGGCATGGCCAGCTTGAGACTGAGATGGGTAAGAGAAAACTTGGATTGGGCTGCTGCAGGAATGCAGAGGTCCCTGGCTCTCACACACACACACACACACACACACACACACACACAGAGCAATGCTTGAAGTCCAGGCACACACACACACACACACACAGCAATGCTTGAAGTCCAGGCGCACACACACACACACACACACACACAGAGCAATGCTTGAAGTCCAGGCACACACACACACACACACACACACACACACACAGCAATGCTTGAAGTCCAGGCACACACACACACACACACACACAGCAATGCTTGAAGTCCAGGCACACACACACACACACACACACACACACACAGAGCAATGCTTGAAGTCCAGGCTGGGGGAAACTTGATGATGAGAAAACTTGGATTGGGCTGCTGCAGGAATGCAGAGGTCCCTGGTTCTCTCTCACACACACACACACACACACACACACACAGCGCAATGCTTGAAGTCCAGGCTGGGGGAAACTTGATGATGAGAAAATTTGGATTGGGCTGCTGCAGGAATGCAGAGGTCCCTGGTTCTCTCTCTCTCTCTCTCTCTCACACACACACACTCTCTCTCTCTCACACACACACACACACACACACACACACACACACCCGCAATGCTTGAAGTCCACACACACACACCCCCCCCCCGCAATGCTTGAAGTCCACACACACACACCCCCCCGCAATGCTTGAAGTCCACACACACACCCCCCCCCGCAATGCTTGAAGTCCACACACACACACACCCCCGCAATGCTTGAAGTCCAGGCTGGGGGAAACTTGATGATCTTTCAAATCTGATAAATCTTGTCCTAGCTGTTGCTGAGTTTGAACACTTCCCTTCTGAGCTCATTTTTTCATCCCATCATTAAAGTAGGAATAGTGATCTTTGTCTTCAGAAGTTTGGGTTTAAGTGAGGTGACCTTGGAAGCACTGTCAGCTCTACCATTTTCCAGTTTGAGGATGGCTTGGCCCCATGTCCCCTCCAGTCCTGTAGGTAGATGGGTGGAGGTGGATGCTGTGTGTACTTGAGTTAAGGTGTAGGGCAGAAGGGCATGGGGCTTATTAAAGCTGCTTGCGTTACCTGTGCCCTGGGGCTAACTTGAAGGTTTTCCCTCCTTCTTTCACTTGGCAGGTGCAGTTGCATCCTTCTGGTGACTGTTTCCTGTCATCTTTAGGGCATCCCCTCTCACCAGCTAATTTATTTATTTATTTTTTCACCAGCTAATTTAAATTGGCACTTACAAGTACCTCTGTGCTTCATATAGCTCCTTGCTCTCAAACCCAAGAACTCAGTGGTTATGTTACTATGCAACCCTTTCTTTGACAAAAGCCTCAAATAGAAAGGTTCATTTGGAGCCTGTGTACTCAACTCTTGAAAAAGATGCAGAAGATGGTTGGCTGCTTGCTGAGATTACTCTGACCCCTGGGATCATGCGTCCTGTTGCTATTTATGTGACCTGCTCCATGCCGCAGCTGTCCTCTGGCCGCTTCAAGCATGGCTCTTGCCTGGCGGTGCTGCCTGCCTGATAGGGGAAGTACAGGGAAGGTAGCCTAGAAGACCAGGAGCCCTTGCTGTCTGTAACCACATTCTACCTGGCTGTCTTTTTCCCATTGGAAGTGTGAGTCTCGATAGCCCTGGGGAGTGAGGTTAGGAGCATGGAACCCCCGTGTTCCCTGTTCTAGACGTCCCTCATCCTGCCCAGCCTCCTCTATTTCACGTTACTTTCATTCCCTCAACACTTCGCTGTCTAACAATTGTTTTCCCCAAAACTGGAAGAGAATGTTTATCTTAAACTTGGAGCAATAGATGAGGTTTGTGGAGCCAGGCTGACCTCAAGAGGGGTTTCACGGACATGAGACCCCAGCATGACCCAGAGAAAGCACAGGACCGGCCCCAGACTGTGGCCTGCAGCTTGCTCTTAAGTGTTAGTCAGCTGTTTGATTTATAAACAGTTAAGGATCACCAAAGATACAGCATCTGGCCACCAAGCTTCTCCACCTGGGAAGAAGGAAGCCCTGCTCTGTCATCACCAGGGCTTCCACCAGGTAGCAGCCCACATCCTGTCCTCATCCACACCCTGTCGTCACACACCTTCCAGGGTAGACCAGGAGCAAGGAATATGGCAAGTCCCTATGTTTCAGGAGATTCCAATTCATGGCAGCTTTAATATGGACAGCCATCTGTTTTCCCTTGTCTCAAGGTGATTCTGTTGTATGACAAAACCGTAATCAAACTTGGCTCTAAAAAATAAAAATCTCTTCTTGTACTCACTAACTGTGGTGGAACCTTGAGCAAGTGTCTTCCCCTATCTGGGCTGCCATTTCTCTGCCTCTAAGATGGAGATGGTTTAGAATTAGCAGAGATGTAATGCTGGCCAGAGCTGCACTCAGTTTGGCCACTGCTTGCAGATAAAGCTGGCCTGGGGACCCAGGGGACTGTCACCTCAGTCTAGGAGTCCTTGACACCAGCCAGTTAGGTGGGCCAAGGTCAATTCATTTTTCAGTTCCCCACCCCCTATACCACAATTCATGCTTCTGCTCTGTTTCTGGGTCCCTACAGGAAAACCTTCTGCTATTCTTGAATTAAAGGATAAAGGGTCAAGCATCAAAGATGATGCACCTCTGGGGACAGGGACCTGGTGTAGCTGATGGAAGGGCCTTGTTTGATGTTTCCCTATCTCCTCCCCCACCCCCACCGACTGGGCCACTGTCCAGAGACAGCAGAGAAGGCTTGGCTGTGAGTAGGGAGCTGGTGGCAGTGGTATATTCCCAGTGCAGCTTTCCTTTCCCCACATCCCACAAACCTCTATTTGGAAAAGGTCTGATGAAGCTGTCAAGTTGGCTGCCTGATTCATCCCTCCCCTTTGGGCATAGCCAGTGAGTTTGCTGGGTTGATGCTTGTGAATACAAACTTTGGCTCCTGAAAGGCACTGCAGAGGAAGAGGGTGGGGCTCAGGGCACCCGTCACCCTCCTTTTCAATCTAGGTCACCACGTCCACCATCCCCAAGAGACTCATTCTCTCATCTCTCCGATAGGACCTCAGTGATCCTGGGCTCTGCGTTGCCCACCCTGCCCATCTCCATGCCAGGAATGTGAGGTGATCCTGCCGCTCTGGCTCCTGGAGCAGTCTTGCTCCCCTCCTTGTGGTGCTATTGAGATTTTACTTGTTCGGTCAGGCAGAGCAGGCATGCCCTGATCCCTGGCTTTGGTTGCTGGCTCACCGTTGTCACCATGCTGTGCTCCTATTCTTTTGCTCCTGTAAATCTTTGCATGAAGTATTGTCCTCACAGCTAAGCCTGCCTTATGGTCTTGACTCTTCTCTCTTGGCCATAAGCTATGCAGCAGTTTTTGCACTTTGGGAGAAGGTGGTTGACTCTACAGATGCTCTTCCAATAGGCCCCTGTGGCCAGGTCCCAGGGCTACCACAGCCCCACCCCCACCTCAACTGTTCCAGGGCCTCCCCTGTCAGGCACATGACTGACTACATCATCTCCCCTCTCTCTCCTCTTTGCCCCAGATCAGTGGACCATCCCCTGCCCGGATCCCCTCTCTCCACAGACTTTGGCAGCTGGCAGATGGTAACAGGCTGTGGCAGTATTCAGGAACGGGCTGTCCTGCACACAGACTCCTCTCTCCCTTTCAGCTTCCCGGATGAGCTCCCTAACAATTGTCTGTAAGTGTCTTGCTTAAGAAGACAGGATGCCCCTTCCCCTGCCTGTGTCAGAAGCCGGCAAGCAGTCAAGTGCTGGCCAGGAATGAGGTGGCAGCTGGCCCCAGGGAGCTGGCCTGGGCTCCCTGCCCCTTCTGAATGTCTCCACTATGTATACCTCACTGGTCTTGCCCCCTGAGGTGTGAAGGGGGCTGATGAGCTGCTCAGGAAGGGTGCTGGAGTGTGTTCACTCTCCCCGGCCTCTGACACCCATCCATGGGTGTCTTGGGGCACACCCCTAGGGAAAGCTGGCTGGACTCTAACTATAGAGTATGCTATTTCAGTCCAAGTCTTTGCCTGACATGAGAATCCTTTGAAAGCAGAACAGTGGGGTAGTGAAGGTAGGTGTATGGTGGAGACAGAGCCAGAATGGAGCTGGGTTAGCCCAAGGGCTGCGCTCCCAAGCAGAACCGAGGGTTCCTTGCTGTTCCCTGGCCCCTTTTGTCATCTGTTTTTGCCTCTGGTCAGGAAAGAAAATTGGATGGGAATACTAAAGCCCACGCCTATAAACTCCTCTCCCTCCAAGGCTCCAGTACTGGTCCTCCAGCTCAAGCAGTGCATCTACTTGAGCAGCTGCTTCTCAGGCTGCCCTGCCCCCTGCCTGCTCTGCTGTTTCATGGATGTCAGATGGCAGGGAGCCTCCGGTGGCCTGGGGAGCAGGATCTGCTTCTCAGCTGTGGCTGCCTGAGGGCCTTCAACTCCCCACGACCCACCATTGCCCCTGCCATGGGCTGAATGAGCTTCAGGTGCTGGGTGGTTGTCACCACCTTCAGGATCAGCTCATACTCTCCAGTACTGACAGGTTGGAGGCAGGTTGCCCTTGGAAGCTGAGGCGGATTCTGCCTAGGGCAGGCAGGGGCCACACCTTGGGATTCCCAGATGGTCCTCGCGAGCCCTGGCCCTGCAGCTCAGGAGTAGCCCAAGGACTTCAAAGGCCTCTAGGGCTTGGCTCAGCCTTCTCTATAGCCACTCCCTTAAGCCAGAAATAAGATCTCTTAGAAAAGTTAAAGACATAGTTCTCTTCGTGTTTCCGTAGGCTCTTGCTATTGAAGCCAAACACCCTAGGAGCTGCAGGAAGCTGACATCTCTGCCCCTGCATAATAGCACCCTCACTTACCTGGCATTAGCCACTGAAATGGGCAGCTTCAGCCCTGGATCCTGTAATTAATGCCTTAGGTAGATCTCTCTGCTCCCAGCCATTCCTCAGGTTCTGGGTGATTCCCAGAGGAGGGCTAGGTTCTCCATGATCCCATGGCCTCTGAGATTGCAGGGTGGGCATGGACTCAGGGTTGATGACTGGTGAGATCACATAGCATGTGGGTTCAGTGCTTTGGCTTTGGTGTCAGAGAGAAATTAAATCCAAATCCCAGCTGTTAGGTTTACAAGTTCTGTCTTGGGGTTGAACCCTTGACTGCTGTGAGCCTGCTAGCTCATATCTTGAGAGGGAATGACACTGTAGGAGCTCTGCCCACCTTGTGTCCTCAAGCGGATCACATCCTCTCTGGGCTCCAGGTATCTTGTTTCTAAAAGAGGTTGTGATCTTTTCCCTCTCTGCCTCCCAAAATAGGGGGCAGTGAAAATGCGCACATATGGACCTTCAGGTAGTCCTGTGAATATGAACTACTAATCTGAATTTCTCCTGGTTATATGCTCTGAGGGAAAGCTAAAGAGGCACACATGGTCTCCAGCCTATGTGAAAACTAATTAGGAAGTAAAGAAGATCTAGGGCCTCGAATCTCCCCCACATGCCAAGAGAGACTTGGGAGTTGTTCATGGTATTGCAGGAGTCCAGGATCAGCCTCACTTCTTTGTGCTCCTGCTACAGTTATTTGACTTTTCTTCGCCCTAGAACTTGCTGCTACTTCTGCTATTGCTGGTGTTTCTCTCTCTCACACACACAAGCACACATACACACACCCCACTCCCAGCAGTCTACTTTTCCGGGATCTGTTGTCTCCATACGTAAGCCCTGGACTGTCATTTATCCTCATACCTCCAATGTGCTCCCCAGGCCCCAGGTACAAGTCATCTGGACTTGGGAATTGGGGATATCGCTGCTGCTTCTGACAGATTCACAGGAAGAATTACCCAGACGTTGGTCTCTAAGGGGAAATTTTGGAGGGAGTTGGTGTTCAGGGCTGGTCTTGGTGCTTAGGTGGATAGGAACGTGAGAGCTCATCTCATGTAGGTCTGTGACCTTTTCCCTAATTCCATCCCTCCTGCCCCTAGACTTCATAACTTTGAGTCCAGAGGTTGTGTGTGGTTGGTACCTCAGCCCTTTTTTATGAATGACCCTTCAGGTTACCAGATAGTCTCATGTGGAATTCACACTTTTTGTTATCCTTTTTGACTTGTGATAAGCGCCTGTAGAGGCCAGGAAAGGAAAAGTAGATAGAATCAGAAAGGAAATCCTGCTGGAAAAGCCAGCCCCTTCCTCGAGGTTTCCCTGGGGACTGCAGTGACTAAAGGTGAGGGCTCTGGCCTCTCCAGGTAGGAAGAGCAGCCTGAGGGAGAATTTAAGATGGGAACAGGACCGAATGTTTGGTGCCTGAACCGCACCGGCAGCATGGCCAGGGGCAGATGCTGGCCTTGTACTGGCGAATGCAGGACAGCCAGTGGGGCGTAAGGACGAGAATGATGGATCCTGCCCCGGGATAATGCATTAATTCTCTCTTCCCCTCCCTCCCCACAGACTTACAGCCCTGAGTGAACGAGAGACCCGGCTACAGGAGGTGCGCTCAGCCTTCTTGGCTGCATATAGCAGCACAGTGGGGCTTCGCGCAGCAGCCCCCAGTCCCTCTGGTGCCATCGGTGGCCTGCTGGAGCAGTTTGTCCGTGGCGTTGGACTCCGGGGCACCAGCAGCAGCACCTTATGAAGCAGCCAGCCCACGACAGCTTCCTGATCCTCTCTCACCTGAGCGGAATCAAAGCCATGCCCAGCCAAGGGGTGCTTCAAGGTTGGGGGGGAACTTCCCTTCACCATCATGCACACGGCAGCCCCGAAGCTGAGCAGGACCGAGGACGGGGTTCTCCCACCCCCAGCTTCCTTCCCCAGCCGACCCACTTGTCACTGCCTCCCACCCTCGTTAGTCTTTGCCAGGATTCCTGTCAACTCTCAGAACTGTGTAGCATTTCCCTGGGGTCTTGGGGGAGGCTGAGACTTCACAAAAGACCTCCAGTTTCCATTTTTGTGTCCTGGGGAGGAGGGCTCACCTGCACTGAAAATGAGGCAGTTTAACACAGATCACAAAATGAAATCAAAGTCTTTTTGAACAGCTACTTTCTTGCATCATTTGGTTGCTGTCTTTGTGGAGTTGATTAGAAGGTTCTCACTTTCCTTCCTTTTGCTAAAAGAAGGAGCTTTTATAGGGGGGATGGAGGAACATAGGAAGCAGGAAGAGATTGGAGACTTGGATGTGCCTCTTAATTCCTGAGCCATGAGAGTCTCCAGTGAGATGGCAACACATTAGCAGTAGGCTGTTAAGGTGGGAACAGTGGTCCTCAGGCCTGAATGGGCCCCAGTCACTTGGGGAGCCTGTTGATCCATGCAGATTTCCAGGGCTTCCTGAAATTTAGACTTGAAGTTGCTGAGATCTTCATTAAGCTGGAATAAGGGGTGGGGGAGTCCTTTTTTTTTTTTTTTTGGCCATGCCCTGGGATCTTAGTTCTCTGGCTGGGGGTTGAACCTACACCCTCAGCAGTGAAAACGTGGGGATTCCTAACCATTGGACCACCAGGGAATTCCCAAGTAATCTATTATTAACAAGTTCAGCAAACAATCTGCTCCTGGTACAGGTGACCTGCAGGCCCTGCATTTGGTCAGGAATTGGCTTCCAGGGCCTGGAAGGCAGTAGGTGATATGGGGAGGGTGAACCTGGCTGACCACCACCGTCATTTACTGTGTGATCTGCAGTGAGTTGCATCCTCAGAGAGTGTCTTCATCTCAAACACCATGAAGTCATCTGGGTTCAAAGACATGGACAAAAGGTTTTTCACAGTGCACCGTTTACTGACCTCTGACTCTAAACACAGAAGAAGTCATTAGTGTGAATGCCCAGAAGAGGGAAATGATACCAATGAACATTTCTTGAGTATTTACTGTTTATAATCCACTACGTTAAATCCTGTTTATAGGTTATCTTGATGAAATTTACAACACCTCAAGTATGTGCTATTATGGCCATTCTTAGCAGTGAACTGACTGAGCCAATGAGATGTTGAGTAACTTGCCCAAGGTCACACAGCTAATGAGAACAAATGTGTAACTACGCCTATTCAGAGACTGAGGAAGGGCCGGAGTGGCAAGGGGAAGAGCGGATTGTTGAGCAGCTCAGGAAGAGCAGTCTACCCCGGTGCCCACTAGGTATCCAGGATGCCGGTCAGCATCCTGGACAGCACTCGTGGGGGCAGGCCTGGCTCTCTCCTCGGGGAGATGCACTGGGAGGACTCTCCCACCTAGTGAGTTGGAGTTCGGATCTGTGTAAGGTTCCTGGCCTACAGGAGTCTGCTCCAATGGGGTGGGGGCCCTCCGCGGGGCCGGGCGGGGCTGCATTGCCATCTGGAGCCGCTGCGCGGCCGGCCACAGTGAAGGCACGAGCAACCAGAGCGCACGCAGGGCTGGAGGGAGCACAGCCTCTGCCGTCGCCGCCGCCGCCGCCGCCGCCCCTAGCAGCCCCCGTCTCGCAGCCTCCCGCAGCTCCGGCCACCCGACCAGCCATGTCTTTCAGCGGAGCCTCCGAGCGCAGCGTCCCGGCCACCAAGATTGAAATTACCGTGTCCTGCCGGTGAGAGGGCCGTGCCGGGGAGAGCTTAGGCATTGCCCCAGCACCACCCAGTTCAGGGGCTCAGCGAGCAGGGGGTAGACCCCAGGAGAGGAAGCATCCGGGCCGGGGAAAATCGCGGATGCAGACTCAGGGGAGTTGCTAGCGGACGCGGGGAGCGGGTTCCCTTGAATAGCCCCAACCACAAAAGAGGGCTCAGCCTGCGGCTTGAAGGGATGGGTCGCGGGGATCCAGTAGGATCTGCGCCCCAGGAGGGTAAAGTTCTGGGGGCTAACCCTCTTTCCTGGGCCCTTAGAGGCAGTCTGGACGCGTCCAGTCCGCAGAGGAACAGCTCTTAGGCTGAGATTTCCGGTGTTGTCCAGGGTGCTGATAACGCGGGACCCCGGCAGGGTGTAGTTACGGGGGAGGGAGGTGTGGTTTGAACCCCGTGCCTCCCTAGGTGCCCACCTCTGGGTAGGGTACCGGCAGTGGGCTCCAGGATGATCCACTCGCTGTCCGTCTGTTTGTCTCTTTCTCTAGAAACCTGCTGGACCTCGACACCTTCTCCAAGTCCGACCCCAGTAGGCGGCACCAGGGTCGGGAGGGAGGGAACTTGGGGTCCGAGAGCACCTGAGGGGTGGGGAGGGGGCGGCGGGCCGACCTGACGTCCTTCCCTCCCCGCCCCCGCTCCCGCCTGCAGTGGTGGTGCTTTACACGCAGAGCCGGGCCAGCCAGGAGTGGCGGGAGGTAAGTCCTAGAACCCTCACCCAGTCCACGGCCGCGCCTGGGAAGCACCTGCCCCCTTTAGCAGGCCCCGTGGTGATTGTCCACCCCCCATTCAGTTCGGACGGACCGAGGTGATCGACAACACACTGAACCCAGACTTCGTGCGCAAATTCGTCCTCGACTACTTCTTTGAGGAAAAGCAAAACCTGCGCTTCGATGTGTGAGCCCCGCCCAGAAACCCGGCTTGGACCTCCCCCAACCTGGATCCACCCCCCAGCGGGCCCCCGACCCGGCTCCACCCCCAGGCCCAGTTCGGTGGCACTTTGAAGGACTCCTCTCTAGGCTTAGCGCCGCCCCCAAGTCTAGGTTGGCCACTCCCCAGGCCTAGTCCTGCTGACAACCCTTCTCCTTAATTGGCTCCGCCCCTTTCTAAGTCCCACCTCTGAGGTGACCCTGCCCCCAGCAGGCCCCGGACTTGACCTCGCCCAGGTCTGACTCCCTCTGACCCCAACTCCTGTCCAAAGGAGGTCCAGGTTGAATTCCGGTACAAGACTGCCCCATCCTCCACCCACAATTTTAACCTGGACTCGAAATCGGACCCCTTTTCCAGGCTCTCTCCCACCACCCCCGCCCCATGTTGGTCCCACTCTCTTCCCAGGTACAACGTTGACTCCAAAACCAACATCTCCAAACCGGTGAGCTACCGTTCCCTCACGGGCAGGCTGGGCACACAGGCGGCGCTCACTGTGTGTTAAACGACCCTCCTTAGAACCCTCCTACCCCTCAAACCCGACTCGACCTTCTTCGGCCCCGAACCTGCCCTCCCTGCCCTCCTCTCCTGTTCCTGCCTCGGTTTCCCGCCTGTGCCTCTTACTCACTGCTACTCTGCCTTTTCGACTGCTGCTGGGACCCTCAGAAGGTGAGGCTGAATGGGGCTGGGCGGGGTCAGCGTGTGGTGTGTGTGAAAGGTGAGGGGTGGGATGGTATCTTGGCAGGGTAGAGGCCGTGGGCTCCAGATATCAGGACCAAGAAGGGCCGCTTCTCTGGCCGCATCCCTCCTCTGAAGTCCTGGCTGGGTGGTTCCACTGCCTCCAGTCACAGTGGTCAGTGCAGCAGCATCACCAGGGCCGGGCTGGGACTCTCACCACCAGCCACTCCTGTCCTCACTGACTCTGTATCCCCGTGCAGGATTTCCTGGGCCAAGCGTTCCTGGCCCTGGGAGAGGTGATCGGAGGCCAGGGCAGCCGAGTTGAGCGACCCCTCACGTGAGCTGAACCTGAAGGGGAATGGGGGAGGGGCGGGCCTCCAGATTCTCCTAAAGATGCAGCTGACTGTGTATTGTTGGAGGCTGGGATTCCCCTGGTCAGGTGCCTTCAATGGCTCCCATCACCTCCTGGGAAAATCCAATCTTCAGGGCTTTGCTCAAGTCACTCTCAGTCCTGACATATCTCCTCTCTCTCTCATTCTCTCTCCTCACTCTTTTTCTGAATCTGATTCAACCTTTAAGGTCCACTTCCAAGTCTTCCTCACTAAATCAAGTTCTCTGGAATTTACATTACATTCACTCACTAAATATTTATTAGCACATTTTGTATGCTATACCCTGGGCTGGGTACCAAGGATTTGTCCATTCCACAAACACTACTGAGCATATACTCTATGTGAGCCACTGTTCAAGTGGCTTGGGTTGCAGTGGTGAACGAAACAAAGGCTCCTGCCCTCAGGGAGCTTATGTAACAGAAGAGGGAGAGAAATAGTACAAAACTGAAATGATAAATAAGTAAATTACATAATGTCCTAGAAGACATGAAGTGCTGTGGAATGAAAGTAGAACAGAATTAGAGTGACCGGAAATGCAGGGTGATGGGCGCTGCAGTGTTCTACAGGAGGGTTGAGGAGGCCTCATGGAGAGGTAACTTCGGAGCAATAATCTGAAGAAAGTAATGGAGTGAGCTGTGCTGATATCTGGAGGAGGGATGTTCCAGGAGAGGAAACTGCCTGTGCAGAAGTCTGATGTGTTCAAAGAGCAGCACAGAGGCCAGTGTAGGTGGAACTGGGTAAGCAGTGGGGAGAAAGGAGGAGGTGAGCTTGGTGAATTCACAGTTAGGGCCTGGGAGCCACTGTGAGGACTTTAGTTTTTACTCTGAGTTGGGAGTCAGTGGAGAGTTCTGAGCAGAGGAATGCTCTAACTTGCTTTCAAAGGATGCTGCTGGGTTGAGACTACATGGGGGGGGGGGGGGGGGCGGGGGTGCAAAAGTGGAAGTAATCTACGGTGCCAGCAGTGAAGGAGGAGAGAATTAGTTAGATTCTGGATATAAACTGAAGATGGAGCAGCAGATTCCTGACAGACTGAATATGGACGTGAGAGAATAAAAAGAGTCGAGGATGAC